GGGCGGGTCGGGCAGGAGACATGGAGCACCCATGAGCCCGCTAAACGGAGGGAGCGGGCAGGTTGATAGGGAGTCAGCAGGTCAGAGAGGTTGGAGGGGACAAGACCATGGATGGCCTTGAAAGTGAGGACAAGGATCTTGAACTCGATCCTCTGGGGGATGGGGAGCCAGTGGAGTCGGGCGAGGGTGATGGGGTCGTGGAGCCTGGTGACAAAGAGATAGGAAGTCTCTCCCACTGAGAACAAAGAGCTAATCATTTTTCTTTCCTGGTAACTGTGTTGGAGTGTGTGAGAATTTTCTTTTCTCTGAGCAAAACAGATTTTGAATGCACAGTTTGACTTCCAACCTCACTATTTCAATTTTCAGTGCCAATTGCCAGTTGAGCCAAGTTTGTTTTGTTATGTTTTTTCCTTTCATCCAAAAGCCTTACTCAGGTTCCGTCTGGTAGATTTAAATTGAGAAGGAATAATGAAATGCAAGGATTACCATTATTATTATTATTATTATTATTATCATTATTATGATCCTATAATAACCCTTACATTTGGTATAGCACCTTTCACTTCAAGAGGACATCCCAAAGTGCTTCACACTATATACTGTAAATAATAATTATCCTTGCGTTTGATATCGCACCTATTACATCTTCAAGACGCCTCAAAGCGCTTCACAGAATATACTGTAAAGTGAATTGACTATATATTTTGGCGAAAAGTGAGGTGGCTGTTTTTTTTGTGGGTGAAAGCGAAAGCCAATTTGCACACAGCAATTTCCCGTAAACAGCCAAGAAGTGAATGGCCAATTTTATTTGGGGAATCAGAATAAAGTATCGAGAAGGACAAGAGAATAGTGGTAGGTCATGCACTAATTATTTAGACTTTCTTTCAAATGATGCTCATGTTTAAATAACAAATATGTTTATTTATTATTTCTCTCCATAATATACTCTAGTAACTCTTAAAACAAAACAATGCTCTCGTTGTGAGAAGCTTTAGCATTTGCAGGAAGATTGTTTCACAAAGAGGATTCCTCTGTGGCCAGATGTTGTTTTTGTATCTTGTTTGGTTGTTCTTGTCATTGGGAAATGGTCATTTTGGTAACTCCAAATAGCACCGTTTTTATTATTCCTCTGGTTTGATGATTGATGACGAATAATAACAAAACTGTAAATGCTCAAAACACTGAAGCAATGTTATAATGTAGAATACTATTTTGTGTGTTTCGCCCACAAAATACATAATCAATCCATATATAACATGCACAATTATACAGCAAATCAGATGGACAAAACTCCCCTTTAATAAACAGGGCGCTGCTAAACCCGCGTGGATTTGATTGCAGATTTATCTGTCTTCTCGGTAGCTAGCTAGCTTGTTTACTTTCCAAAATAACAATGCATTTTTTGTTGGTCACCAGCTCAGAGAGCCAACCCATTGGTCTTGCTCTCTGTTGTTTTTGTTCGTTTCTCATCTGCATCCTTTATTGTTGAAGTGGAGCCGTGCAGCGAAACCTTGGCCAGTATTGGCACTGCAGACCGGCTTACAGTACTGCATTCTCCGAGTTTGCATATTTCGATCGGTGAATAACAACCTTGTGGAATTGATTCTATCTGGTTTGAAAATTGGAATTTGGACATTGACACAGCACAAGTAACGTAGAGGCAATAAATGGGTAATGAACACTGAATTAAATAGAAAAGGGCTTAAAGTAAGATTAAAAACAGCTGAGTGCCACAACTTCTGTCTCCTCCCCACTTCCAGACTAGAAATGGAAGATATAGCTCTGTTCATGAAAAGCCCCTCTTCGGGTCCTCTGTTGCTCTTGTATAATGTATGCAGCAATAATGGAGATACAGATTGGATGCTGGAGGTAAAACACAGTGTATCACAAAGCGAAGTAAATTCCAATCACTGAGCTACAAACCAAACCACAAATCTCTCATTGAGATTAGAGGTCACAGTCTTGGCTGAGACTGCAGTGCAGTCATGGGGGAGTGGCACATTGTCAGAGGATGAGACCGTAAATAGTTATTCCAGTTCAGGTGGATATTAAAGAAGGGTGTTTCTTGCAGTGTCCTGGCCATAACCCTTCAAGTTATCTGGTTATTCAACTCGTGACCTTGGTGGGGAGAATAAATGACTGCTGCACCTGACAACAAAAACAACCTCTACAGTTGGCAGCAATTGCTTTGCTTTGACTTGAAAAGATACCCGTGTATAAATATGTCTTTCTTTCTTCATTACCACACAGAAGTTGAATAATTGTAGCCGACAGACATATGTGGAACTCCCGGTCTCATCTGGATTCTCTTAAGCAAGAAGATGGGTTTCTGCATGTGTCAGACACTCAGCCGACCAAAAAGATGCATATGGTGCCATATTTGGACGTTTCGCCCACAAAATATACAGTCAATTCACTTTAGAGTAAATTCTGTGAAGTGCTTTGAGACGTCTCGAAGATGTGATAAGGCACTATATCAAATGCAAGGATTATCATATGCAGTATACGTGTTAGATTTAAGCTATGCACAGCCTGACAGAAATTTGACATTGCAAGATCAATCCGTGTATTACATTTGCAGTAAAAAATGCAGAATGAGTCATTTATTGGTATGTAAATTTGAATTATGCAAAACCTCTTTTTAACATAAGAGCACAGCAGAACTGAACATAGCAGGTGAGAAACGTCCAAGGAAATGAGGTGTTTGTTTTCTTGTTGCTTCTAATGTTGTCTCCTTGTACTGCATCCGATAGGAAGCCATGGTGAGGAATGGAAACCAAGACAAACAGACCAGTCCTGCGCAAATATCTTTAATAATGAATGTAAACGCTGCAGCAAGAGAGAAGCACATCTCATTTCAGCAAGTCTTAACCGAAGACACCGCCCCCCCCACCCCCACCCAGCACCCCCCAACACCCCCCACACCACCACCCAAACACTTACTTGGTTGTTTTAAGCAAATTATAAAAGATCAGGAAAGCTCGTCAACATCACTTTTACCAATGCCTTCATGTTGCCGATGTGGTAAGGTGCGCTATATCGAATGCCAGGATTATTATTTATCACTAATCCAGCCCAGCAATGACAATTATTGAAAGGACAGAGCCTGTCTGTGAACGAAGGAGAGGAAAAGACTGGGGGAGGGGGTGTTAGGCAGCCAGTTGAAAGGGGTGGGTGGGTGGGGGGGGGATATACTGTGTTGAATATACAGTCTCGAAGACTTGATAAGGTGCAATATCAAATGCAAGGATTATTATTATTATTATTATTATTATAGTCTCGAAGACTTGATAAGGTGCAACATCAAATGCAAGGATTATTATTATTATTATTATTATTATTATTATTATTATAGTTTCGAAGACTTGATAAGGTGCAATATCAAACGCAAGGATTATTATTATTATTATTATTATTATTATTATAGTCTCGAAGACTTGATAAGGTGCAATATCAAACGCAAGGATTATTATTACTTTCTCCCATCTCCAGACACTGCAGTTAGTCTGATGTGAGCCACCAGCCCCTGATTTGTGTTATCCTCCTGCCTTCTTTTCCCCACTTCCTCCCCATCCCTCTGTGCTGTGTGTGAGTATGTGTGTGCTGGTTGGTGTGTAATTGAGTGTATTTGAGTGTGTGTGTGTGTGTGTGTGTAAGTGGTGTTTGTTTATTGAGTGGGTTTGGCGTCGTGTGGTGTGTGTGTGTTCAGTGACTGCGCATTGTGTGTGTGTTCAGTGACTGCGTATTTTATGTGTGTATTCAGTGACTGTGTGTGTGTTCAGTGAGTGTGCAGTGTGAGTGTGTGCAGTGAGTGTGTGTGCAGTGAGTGTGTGTGTGTGTGCAGTGTGTGTGCAGTGTGAGTGTGTGTGCAGTGAGTGTGTGTGTGCAGTGTGAGTGTGTGTGCAGTGAGTGTGTGAGTGCAGTGTGAGTGTGTGTGCAGTGAGTGTGTGAGTGTGAGTGCAGTGTGAGTGTGTGTGCAGTGTGAGTGTGTGTGAGTGCAGTGTGTGTGTGTGAGTGCAGTGTGAGTGTGTGTGCAGTGAGTGTGTGAGTGTGAGTGCAGTGTGAGTGTGTGCAGTGAGTGTGTGTGAGTGTGAGTGCAGTGTGAGTGTGTGAGTGCAGTGTGTGTGAGTGTGAGTGCAGTGTGTGTGTGTGAGTGCAGTGTGAGTGTGTGTGCAGTGAGTGTGTGTGAGTGTGTGAGTGCAGTGTGAGTGTGTGAGTGAGTGTGTGTGAGTGTGAGTGCAGTGTGAGTGTGTGTGCAGTGTGAGTGTGTGCAGTGAGTGTGTGTGAGTGTGTGTTGGAGGCTGGTGCTGAACAGCCCAATCACAAGGTACCGACTGATCCACAGCGGAACCCGGGAGGAGAGAGGGAGTGTGACAGCGAGAGAGGAGAGAGGGAGTGTGACAGCGAGAGAGGAGAGAGGGAGTGTGACAGAGAGAGAGGAGAGAGGGAGTGTGACAGAGAGAGAGGAGAGAGGGAGTGTGACAGAGAGAGAGGAGAGAGGAGTGAGAGAGGGAGTGTGACAGAGAGAGAGAGAGGAGAGAGGGAGTGTGACAGCGAGAGAGAGGAGAGAGGAGTGAGAGGAGAGAGAGAGGGAGTGTGACAGAGAGAGAGAGGAGTGAGAGGAGTGAGAGGAGAGAGAGAGGGAGTGTGACAGAGAGAGGAGTGAGAGAGGAGAGAGGAGTGGGAGTGTGACAGCGAGAGAGGGAGTGAGTGAGTGAGAGAGGGAGTGTGACAGCGATAGAGAGGAGTGAGAGAGGAGAGAGGAGAGGAGTGAGAGTGGGAGTGTGACAGAGAGGGAGAGAGTGAGTGAGTGAGTGAGTGAGAGAGAGAGCGCTATGTCGGGAGGGGCTGACACCGGGAGGCGGTGGTTGCGGTGGAGGCGATGAGAGAGTCCGACAGCGGCGGCGGCGACGGGAGGAGGAGGAGGAGGAGGAGACATGTCGGGGTCGGGCAGTGATGGAGAGCGGCTCGGGGTTGGGGTCGGGGTTGGGGTCGGGGTCGGGGTCGGGGTCGGGAGAGAAGCCCCGGAGCCGCAGTCCCTGTCGTTGGCCGTCGTGCTCCGAGCGTACGAGCAGCCGATCAACGAGGAACAGGCCTGGGCCGTCTGCTACCAGTGCTGCCGCTCCCTGCGGGGCCGCGGGGCCGGGGAGCGGGGCCCGGGGGCCCCCGTGAAGGAGCCCGGAGCCATCCGCCTGCACCGGGACGGCAGCGTGTCCGTGTGCGGGTCCGCGTGCGGGTCCGGGTCCCGGTGCGTGTGCGGGGAGGACAGCCACAGAGAGCCGCTGCCACTGCCACTGCCACTGCCAGAGGAGCTCACAGGTGGGGAGAGGGGGGGGGGGGGGGGGGGGGGGCTGCAGGGCGCTAATGTGCATGTGTGTGAGTGTGTGTGTGAGTGTGTGCAGTGTGTGAGTGTGTGTGCAGTGTGTGAGTGTGTGCAGTGTGTGTGTGTGCAGAGTGTGTGTGCAGTGTGTGAGTGTGTGTGCAGTGTGTGAGTGTGTGTGCAGTGTGTGTGTGTGTGTGCAGAGTGTGTGTGCAGTGTGTGAGTGTGTGCAATGTGTGTGTGCAGTGTGAGTGTGTGTGCAGTGTGTGTGTGCAGGGAGTGCAGTGTGTGTGCAGTGTGTGTGTGTGCAGGGCGTGAGTGTGTGTGTGCAGTGTGTGTGCAGTGTGTGAGTGTGTGTGTGTGCAGTGTGTGTGTGTGCAGTGCGTGAGTGTGTGTGTGTGCAATGTGTGAGTGTGTGTGCAGTGAGTGTGTGCAGTGTGTGAGTGTGTGTGTGCAGAGTGTGTGTGAGTGCAGTGTGTGTGTGCAGTGCGTGAGTGTGTGTGTGCAGAGTGTGAGTGTGTGTGCAGTGTGTGAGTGTGTGTGTGAGTGTGTGTGCAGTGTGTGTGTGTGTGTGCAGTGTGTGAGTGTGTGTGTGCAGTGTGTGAGTGTGTGTGCAGTGTGTGAGTGTGTGTGCAGTGTGTGCGTGAGTGTGTGTTGGAGGCTGGTGTTGACCCCCTCCTCTGGGGCTACAGCGCAGCCCCCCTCACCCCCCCCCCCCCACTGTGCGTGCGGTCAGTTTTTGGGGACCGTGACATTTCCCCCACCTGCCGCCCCGCCGGCCCGCGCCAGGCTCTCTTTACGGTCAGTTCGTCCGCATTTCCCGCCGAGGCTCTTTGAGACATCTCGACGCAAAGGCGGGACAGTAAGGCGCTGTGTCAAATGCAAGGATTGTTGTTGTTGTTGTTGTTGTTGTTGCTGCTGCTGCTGCTGCGGTGGTGGTGGTGGTGGTGGTGGTTGTTGTTGTCGCTGCAAGGTGCTGGCAAAGCCTCAGAAACTAAACCGCTGATCCCACCCGAGGATCCCTTCAGTACCGACTGTCACATCAGCAGCAGCTATGTGTATGTGTATATATACACATATATATATGTAAATATATATATATAAATATAGGTTGGGCTCCAACCGACCTGCAGCAGCAGTGAGCAAAAACACAGCTCTTTCCCTTCCCCTATTTACACCTGACATACTATGGGTTGAGAACGCATCATTGCCTGTGTGTGTGTATGTGTGTGTGTGTGTATGTATATATATATGTCAATTGCTAACCCTCTGTGATCACCTTGTCTGGTGTAAGCGCGAGAAACTGCTTCCAGGACCCCACTGTAGATTTATGTCTATTAAATATTAAGTTTTCCCCCTTTTGCAAATAATGGCCATTTCAATACAGGCAGAGATTTGTGCTGTAAATAGTGTGATGCGGAACGGATTTTGGGGTTCAGGTTATTACTGAAGCTTATTTATTTATTATCTTTAAGTTTCCCGGGCCAGAGGATTAAATGAGAAATGTCTTTTTCAAAGATGTGATATTTGCGGACGAAAGAAGCAGGAATCCAGGACACAAACACTGGGCATCAGTTTTTTTTAAAAAAACATCAGCTCTCAGTCACATCCTGGATACAGTTTTCAATCCTCTGGCAGAACACAGTGATTGGCAATGCTTCTTCCACTTATTCCAAAGTTACCATTTCCGCGTAGAGATCAGAGTAATTCTTGTTGCATATTGAAAGGGAACACAAAGCAATATTAATTCACCAACAATTTGCATTTACATAGCACCTTTCAACGGGGGAGGATGTCATTCTCATACCTCCTTTACACTGCTGTCTGGAAGCCCGAGCTGGGGGGGGGGTGGGTGGGGAGGTGGCCCAAGGCAGGTTTTGAAAGCGCGGAGGAGAGGGGTAGAATCCAGGCTGCACTGAAGGCTCACACACACACATGTTGGGGTGGATCGGGTGAGACTCCTGCATGTTAACTGAAACCCTTTTATAGATTATTCCGTTTATTTCCTCTTCACCTATTTGCATCAGTTGATATCACACGTTTGGGGTTTTGCAACCTGCGAATGCAAAATCATGCTATTACAGTGACTGGTTAAGTGAGCGGCTTATCCTGTGTATTGTAACTGGGATCTTCGGGTAGTTGAGGAAGGAAGCATTTGATGCCTAACTTTATTAAATATTTCCAGCTATAATTAATAAGATGCCTCATAACATAAGGATTCTTGCCAAATGTAGCCTTATATTGCCACTGTGCTTGTTTGCACGTAGACACACCTACACAGAGCTAGCCTCAATTAGTATTTATTCAATAGGTGGATGTAGGCAATGGAACATTTTTTCAGTCTTTACCATAACCCGTTTATTATTTTGACCAGCTGGTTTTCAAAAGATTAATATTGACAATAGCTAGTGTGAGTCATTGCTGCATTGATATTTATTTGTTCTCCGTTCTCTTCCTCCATGTGTTGTGATATCTTCCTGAGTAATTTCAAACACTGTTATCACACACTTACTTTCTTCCCTTTCCACCTCATTCCCTTAAACCACTCCTTTCCCATCCTATTCCCGCACGGCGGTTCTAATGAATGGGCTACAACTTTGATCCAAAGTACAAATGCTATACGTTTCACTATGAGCAATGAAGTTAGTATAGTATACAACTCAAGTCATTTGCTTGGCAGTTCCTCCCTCCCCAAACTTTGTTGGTTTTACTGCATCGTCACACCGCTAACCTGTTCCTTTGATCAGCCTTCCCTGTTTCAAGGCTGTACCATCACCACTCCTAACCATTGACGTACTCGAATGATGTGAATTATTTAATTATTGCCTTTGCTCAATTCCTTTCCCAAACATGGCATCTCAGAGCAAGATTCACACTAACACTTCCCCACACAGCAGATCACCAGTCACCTCCACATGCCTGAAGAGACAAAGAGAACTGGGAGGAAAATCAAACCATGACTTTTTTTAAAAAAAAGTTTATTATCATAAAGAGGTGAATCTGCTGCATTCAGATGTTTTACAACGGTGACCCCACTGCATGGGGTAAGCCACTGGTTCCATTCAGAACTTGCCAACTAATTTAAGATTCGATTTTGTCCGCGTTGTGACACAGAGGCAATATTGATGTGTTTCACCACACGATGGAGTTGAGTATTGTTCAGGAGCAAGCAAGTCTTGGGAACGTCATCCTGCGGGAATGTTTTAAGATGTGGCCAGGCAGATTGCTTACAATGCAGAGAGTGTCTCACTGTTAGTAATGTTTCTTGAAATAAAATACAAGTACAATAATTACAAAGTAACTGTTCCCTCAAGGCGTATAAATGGGAGACGTCAAGGAATTGCGTCGCAGTTTTATTCCATGAATGAGTAAGTCTTGGGAACTGAAGAGGGACAAAACCTGGCTTTTCGGTCACTGTACATCTGTTCAGGAGGTAGATTACTATAGATACATTGATTACAGCTTTATGCTATTGTTATACAGCACTGATCAGACAGAAAGTTCACTCTCTACCAGCTTTTCAAGTTTAATCATAAGGTATCAGTAACCAAGTTCACTGCAGCTGCTGTTTTGTGTTTCACTTAAGTCTCGCCTCTGTACTAAATTACAGAAGTTAGAATATACCAGTTTACCATGAAGTAGAGCATCAAACAAAGCGAGATTGTGTGCAGCTCAGTATGTCTGATTGAAATGGGTTTTGCGCACATGGTTTATTAAACAGGTTGCATTTATTTGCCAAACGTTGTGTCAGCATGTGGATTTGTAGGAATTGACTTTTGAGATTCTTTGATTAATAGAGTGGAGTTTCTAGCAGATTTGGGGGATATGCTGCTATAACCAGAAGATTGTAATATATTTCTACCACACTGGGGTTTGCATAGGACTAAATTGGGATCAACTAAAGCAATGCATTTGTGGCCCATATTTTTATAATTGGGTCACAATATTTGGGGACAATATTTATCTCCAGTGTAAATAAAGTTAGTGAACTGCATGATCTGTGGAAGTGATAACATCTTGTTAAATAGTGATCATAAGATACAAAGTATAGTCTCTTCCTTTTTCTATTTGTTTTTAACTAACGTTATGATAATAATAATAATAATAATAATAATGTTTGCATTTGGTATAGTGCTTTTCAGGTCAGGAGGCTGTCTCAAAGTGTGATGATGGTTTATTTTGTAGGCAAACGTGGCAGCCAATTTGCACACGGCAATGGTCCCCAAGGAGGCATGACGTGAATAACTAATTTTATCGGGGGTGGGGATTGTTGGCCACGACACCGAGAGATGAAGTGAAAAGATTTTAAAAAGTACTGCCTTTGTCCTCAGACGAACAGCAACGACCCTGGCATCAAATGCTTAGCCACATTCATGAGTTAGGCAAGCTGTTCAAATCCGAATGATGCTTGCTGAACATATTTCAGGAAGTGCAGTTATCAGGAGAGTGTTGTTTTTGCATAAAGTGTTCTGGTAATTCCTGTCCCCAGTAAACACAAAGTTGCTGTTCAGAATAAAGTAATGTTTCTCACACGACACAGTTGCGTCTCGACTGCAGTAATCTTGTGAATCACAGTGTTTGAAGTGCTTCACAACAGTTGGACCAAAAGTCGGAGTTGTTGTACAGAACTGAAATCAAGTTTTCTGCTCTTTCTACATGGCAACGGTCACTTAATTTAGCAATTTCTATATATAGGTAAGCACTTCAGGTGCTAACTTCATCTACCAGTTGCGAAGGTTAGCTTTACTTATAGTCTATCTAGAAAAGAGAAACAGCTTGTGCGCAATAATGAGGCTTGTATAAGCCCTCCCTCTGACCTGGTAGTACTCATTAATATCAAAATATAACAAGGTTTGCACTAAAACAAATTATGTAAACGGAATACACAGCAAGAAAAATGCAACACTTAATTTATTCCACTTGTGAGGGAGATTTTAATGACAGTCAAGCAAGATTATAAATTCCTCCCTTCTGGAGTAAAATGCTTCTCCTCTGTTTGTGAATACATTAAGATCAGTATTTTGTGTCCCCTATTAGGGCAAATTCATTTACATCTCAATAGTGTTGATGAGATGTCCTTGTCGGAATTACCGCACTAGGTCTAATTAATGTGTGTGTGTGTGTGTCTGATCTAAGTAATGCAATAGGAAACCAGTAGCTACGGATTTCATTTCAGCAAAACCCGTTCTCCTATAATATAATATTGCTGCATATTCCACTGGAAGCAACAGACAGAATTGTGTTGCTATAGAATAGTCTTTCCTATTGTGAAAGAAGACTGCAGTGTGGTGAATGAGATATTAATGTATTGTACACAAGTCATTGACTGTTTCATAGCATTGTCTTTGTCAACTCAACGAGCCAGGAAAATCTCAATTTCCCTTTGACAAAATTGGTTGCACTGTCAAGCCATCACTGCACAATTGTTAAGACAGTGGCTCGAACCTTGCATGTGGCTGACTGAGGTCGATAACATGTTCAGATGACTCATTTTCACTGTTGGCAGAGTTGTTGCAGGAGATAAATTTGTGGATAAGTCTGGGTAAAGTGACCATACCCTCAACCAGTGTTATTCAGGTAAAGGGGTGGGGAAAAGAAGAAGAGAAACTCTTATATGAACTCTTATATTTATAAAGCTACATGTTGTTTTTTAAGTTTGTATTTCTCTAGTCGACTGAAGCGATAGCAGGTGGACTGGCCTAGGCAAGAATTGGTGAGCGCTGGGTTCCTGAACAGGGTACAATTTAAACTCCTGTATTCCTTTCTCTGGAGTGAGACCAGTTTATTTCCATTTGAAGTATCTGAGATTGTTCACTTACTTCTGTTTGTACAGTTTTGTTCATGTTCCACACAGCCTTTTTTTTTGAAAATGTAAAGTCGACCTTGTACTTTATATTATACACACATATATATATATATAATGTATATATATTTTGTATCCATCTCGCCTCCTCTTTATCAGTCTTCAAGTCTTGCCTCAAAACTTACCCCTTTGATCTTGCCTACAGTCACCTCCTTTTTCCCTTCCCCCTCTCCCTTTTCCCCTCTCCCGCCAGCAGTGTTTGCCTCGCCATTCAGACGTTATCCATTGCAAAGGGCACTATATAAATGCAAGTTGTAGTTTGGCTTATAATATAAAAGCTGTCTTATTTTGGCTTTTTATTGTGAATTGTTCTGGGGTAAGAACTTTTCCTCAGACGCTCCTGTTTGAAATGGAGAATTACTTTAGCCAAAAATTGATCGGAAAATGTCATCCTGGTATTGTGCTGGTGATAGTCGCTCATTAACCATTGCTGGTGTCGGTAACCTATTTATTGTTGCCTTTCAGACTCCAAGATGAAATTTTCCCGCCCACTGTGCACGGAAGGTCAGGTACGTGTATCCTTCATGTTGTATTTTATTATAAATTTCATCCAGTCAAAACTCAGGCAATCTATAACACATCCTTTGCTCACTTGATGGAAATATTCAGTTCGAAGAATCTAGTTGAATGGGATAGATTGTAAAGAAGACTGCAGTATATTAGTCCGTGGAGTCCTGTAGCTCAGTGGTTAGAGCACTCGCTTTGCAAGCGAGAGACCTGAGTTCAATTCCAGGCAGAGGGCGAAACCTTGGGCAAGTTTCCTTACTCCACACAGAGCCTAATAATAATCCCTCCAAAACCAAAAACAATAATAAATTGGTCATTTTCAATCCACGACTGTTTGTGGGACATTGCTGTGCGCAATTGGCTGCCGCGTTCGCCCACAAATATACAGTCAATTCACTTTACAGTATATTCTGTGAAGCGCTTTGGGACGTCCTCCCGACGTGAAAAGCGCTATATCAAATGCAAGGATTATTATTATTATTATTATTATTAGCTGCTGCAGGACTAATGAGCATTGTAAAACCTTTCAAACCTTCTGTGATCAAGAATATTTCTCCAGTGACAGTGGTTAAATAAGACACTAGGACTGTAAGGGATTGTAAAGTATCATCTATTTTAAACCCATGTGCTTGGCTGCTTTGCTGATACAAAAGGTATCCTTATTAATGTTTAAATTCTTATTTTTGCTGAGGATTTTGTTATGCAACTGTTTAAGTATTCCTAGTAATGGCAGCTTTTGGGTGTACATCTGGTTTGAAAGAATTCCAGGCAGAGATGAAATGTGACAGTGCTGAAACACTCAGTCTGAACATGTAGTCTCCCAGCAGTCAGAGACTGACAGGATCTCAGTAAATTTCAGTGTCTGGGACCTGTGCCAGGATTTAAAAGAAAAAATGACAAGAGCATGAAGAAGTTAGCTGGCCAAATACCGTTACTAGACTGTTGGTTCAGTTTTATTTTGCTTCCATTTGTTGTGGTTACTAGGAAGCCTTTATTACAGCAGCAACAACAAAAAAATACATTTGTATAACATCTTTCATGTCAGGAGGATGTCCCAAGGCACCTTTGTTCACGCTGTTGTAGATGCTGAAAGCTCACCTGAGTTAATTATAGTGCTCTTCATTCACTGCAATAACATATGGACACAGCATTTACTCCATTCCTCAGTCAATTTATGGGATCAATAAATCTTGCTTTAGTCCATTTTGGGGGACTTTTGCAACAATACTGTATGCAACAAGCAACTTGATTTGACAACTCTTCCTGTTGTCAGGAATGTAAATTGAAGGGTGTTGCCGATTGGGTTGAATAAAGGTGACGCTGATTAGAAAGGGCAGGTACCACCAACAATTTATTGCGATGAGAGTGTTTTGTTTTGTACTGTGTTGTTGGTGATCTGACCTCAAGTGCACTTTGGTTGTGGATGTATCCGTCACATGTAGCAGACGTGGCACTTCAAAGCTCTCGGCCTTCTGGTATTCTCTAGGAAGATTAACTGTGTTGATTAGGTAAGGTAATCAGTGGTGCCAGGAGTGCACTCATCGTGTCATCACAATCCAAGACCCAAATCAATTTGTGTCAAAAGGACTGTTGCCATTTTAAACCATTCGAACTAACAAATGCCCTGAATCATCCTTCCTGGTCACTTGTTTCAGCTATTGATTATCCTCTGCATTCCAGGCAGGGCGAAACCTTGGGCAAGTTTCCTTACTCCACACGCCTAATAATAATCCCTCCAAAACCAAAAACAATAATAAATTGGTCATTTTCAATCCACGACTGTTTGTGGGACATTCCTGGTCATTCATTTAAGCTTGGATTACGTCCTCCCGACGTGAAAAGCGCTATCTGCATAACTGAAAGAAACATCTTTTTTAAAAAAGGCTGGATTAATTGTGAATTATGCCTAGGATGGTTTCGAAATCAAAACTAGTTTAGTGTATTTTTTAAAAAAACCTTTAGTACTAAAGAACTAACGTAATAAATCTCAAGGAGACATAAAAAAGCAGGGTGATTAAGCGACGTTGAACAGGAAACTGAGCCACTTTTGAGTTTATTGTTACCTTTTAATCATGAGCAGATCACCTTTGTGAAATGTATTCTGGGTCACCATGAAAGGATAATCTGGTCAGTAATCACTGGTATGTGTGCAAATGAGAATTTATGCCAGCAAAGCAATATCAGTGATCGTTTATCAGTGATTTATTTCTTTATCGCAACTAGGCTCTGCATTTCTTAAACAACAATTGAGAAAAATGCTGCAACCTTTAGTCTTCAGCACATCGGTCAGATTGCTCCTGTTGCTTGCCTTTCATCTGCATAATTTATATCTTGGGCTTGCTCAGACAGAATTTGAAAACTGCGTGTTCGGGAGCAAAGTACCGGAACAAAGTAATAACTACACAAGCATCTTCTGTGCATTTTCCTTTGTTTCAATGCCAACTGCATTCTTGTGAAGTACAATTGGTCTTTGAGTCTTGTATTCCTGACCAAAAGAATTTAGAATTGCGTGTAATTATATTTTACTTGTACTTTTGTGTCAAACAATTACTCTTTCCAAGACGCTACCCCACGTGAAGGGTGCTATATAAATGCAAGTTGTTGTTGTTTGGAAAGCCTAAGTTCCTCCACACTTGAATACTGCTCCCAGTGCGTGAGCCTCGTTTAAAAGATGTAAACATTGCTCTCATTTTTAGTTTTAAATATGTAAGCTATGACTTCTAGAGCTCGAAAAAATAGATCTTTGAGGGTAAAGATGCATAAGATAATTAATGGGATAGAGAAAGTAAACCCAGAACAATTCTTTCAAAGATACCAAGGCAGTAGGACGAGAGGGCACAAGTGCAGGGATACGAAGGAGAATTTCAGGACCTACACCAGGAAGTATTCATTGGCACAGAGGGTAATCAACAGCCAGAATAGATTATCAGGAGGAGGAGATTGAAGCTAGGACTCTAGAATCAGTTAAGCAACTGATTAGGAAAGATGTTAGTTACACTATGGAAGGATGAGAGTTTTTACAGTAAAGGGTTGGATTTTCTTCATCTGGATCACTCTTGTGATCACTTGCAATTCATCAGAAATTGGGATGCAGGAGACGATCATTTAACCCATTGAACCCCTCTCCAACACAGACCATTCCATGGTCTCAGTATGAAAAATCGTATGGGCAAAGCATGCTTTTGTCAGGTGTTTTATAATCCAGTGTGACCTCCTGTTTCCATACCAATCACCATAATGTTGACATGTTCTCATTAGGGTTCAAAGGAAGCGCTCAACTGGCTTCAAGGTTTTTTTAAAAAAATTGTGAGAACAAGTTCCTGAAACTTTAATGAAAATGTCAAACATGATGGATCCAACCCCTCACTGGAGCTCAGGTGTCAGTCCAAGGGAGTCAGAGATCCGAGTTGCCATTGGTCTTCCTGTAAAACCGTTCTTTCTTAATGTTTTGGAACGATCAATGGAAGTAGTCTGGCTTGTAAGAGCCGTTTAATTTTAAAACCATCTCAATGTGCAGCAGGATCCAGATTCAAATAATAAGCTTTGAGTATTGAAATGTTGAAATGATTCGTAAGAATTTTTAATCAGTTGGGGACGTAGGGGAAGAGATTTCTTTAACAGCTTAAAATCTTTGTGTGTGTGTGTGTTGGCTCGTTGTTATGGTGGAGACTGCTAGCTGTAAGCCAGTTACCAGCTCTTTCCCCTTGCCTACCCTCCCCAACACATATATTTTCCACTTCACTCGATGATCTGTGGTGCTTTCCGAAGGCTTTGGGCTTTCCGTGTGCGGTGAGGTAATGTTGTGACTACCTCCTGAATGCCCAGCCAGGAACATGTAGTTACCCAAATAAATACAAACCTTGAATGGAGCAGAACACTGCAATGAGCCATTCATTGTTTATGTCAAGAAATCCCTGCTCCAGCTTAATGTTTATCCAAATGTAACCTGTATTAGTAAACTAGAGAATCCTTATACATCTGGAATCAAACAATAGTGTCCTTTGATCGCAGAACTGCAGAATGATTTTAAAAAATTCTGTTTGAGTATGGAAAAGTTAAAATGATTTGTAAGAATTTTAAATCAGCTGGGGATGTAGGGATAGAATTTTTTTTAACAGTTTCAAATCGTTGTGTGGGGTGTGGGTGGATGTGTGTGAGTGTGAATCAGGAGAGAAGCTCCTGGCTTTGTGCAGCTGAGTAATTTTTTTTATCTACATAAAACAAGCCTGCCTCATATTTAGGTCATTCTTTTTTATTCTCTCCCCTGCTGGATTCTCAAACCGCCCTGAATTAGTTTTGTTTGGTGTAAGTGATATCTGGAGAATTCTTAATACCTTATCTCTAGCAGAAAATGAGAGTTCAATCAGTGCACAATTTGATGGCGTTTTGCCAGTAATTAAATAGACCCCGATGTTTTGGCTGGGTTCTTGATATCTGGCAGTATCTGAATCAGCCTGATTGATACCTCCTAACACAGCAAAACAACCTATTCCCCCCACCCCTCACCTAAACATTTAAAAAAAATATTGTACAAAGATTTTGGATTTGTAGATCTTTGGGGAGAAGTGAGCCTTTAATTGATATGCATTTCCATTTTTAAACGATCATTTCAATAATTTTGTTAAATGGAGAAGAAGTTCAGTAGAGAGCAGAGGAGGTTTAGTTGTCTCTGGTGTGGAGGGGGTGCAGCACACTGATGGAACAGAGTCAAAGTGCTATTGATGAATAGAAACCATCTCAGATATCAGTGCATCAGCTCTTCTGGTGAATGTTCCCTTCAGTAAATGGAGATGAACCCATCCCCCTCTATCCAGCTCACACTAATGATGTCTTTGTGTAAAGAGGTCTAATGGTTTGGAGAGTTGAATCCACTGCAGAGGTAATAAAACCTAGAGTCGGTTATCCTGTTACAGCAAAGCTAACCATATTCTTTTAACAGCCTGCACACAGACAGAACAGTGTACCAGTATTAAAGTGGCTAAATACCACAGTGTTCGCAAGCGACTTTGAAATCTGGTTTTGTTTTCAGAGTTGGAAATGTGGGGGAAAAGAAGTTAGATTTTACAGAGGGTTCATTTTTTTAAAAAAAAGGTGAAGTAGATCATTTTAGGTTAGAAACTAAATTTAGCTGCAAATTGAAGTTGAAACCTTCTTTATTACAGCAGCTTGTAGTAGTCTGTTTCATGAGGAGCAACACAAAGCAGCGATCAGTGGATATTAATATTACAGTGGTGCTGGGGTCAGGGTATTTGTAAGTCACAATAGTTAGTGTGTGGGGCAATGGGGGAGGGGGATTCGAGAAGAAGCACCGCAAATCGGCTCGTGTTCCCCAGTGAATAGGATCATTCCTGTAACTGTATCGTCTAGCTTCTAAAGGCGCCGAAAAACCTACCTCTTCAACCGTGTCTGTGGTCACCTCCCCCACTCCATCTCCCAGCCCATCAGACTCCCGAGATGTTGCTCTGTATGAAGAGCTCGGTGGAAATGCATGTTGTGGAAACGCATGGGGGATGGGGAGAATCAATAAATCAAGAGAGGCCTCCATCGTGTCAAGCATTTGAATTTGTCAGCATTTTATGGATTATGAAAACCATTAAAATACGAACACCCGATGAAACCAAATATTCTGTTTATTTATAGCCATTTCCTGCTTGGTCCCATTGAAAGTTGGTAGCCTGTTCCCAGCTGAGCACTTCATTAATTGAATTCAATTAATGATCAAGATTGAAGGTGTAAAGTAGGTTAGAGACAGTAAGCCATTACCTCTATGTCTGACTCAGGTCCATGTTGAAGTAATGATGTGAGTATTTCAAAGAGACCTCATCAGTAATTTGCACATATTTAATAATGAAACGGTTATATTGATCTGTGACATGCTTGGAGTGAGATTTGTTGTGCTCAGTTTATAGGGCTCTCATTCAGAAGGGAACAACAGCCTGTTATATTATGCGGGTCTTTAAACCTTTTGCATTCCCGTAAAAGGTTTACGTGTGCAGGTTAGATTCTGGCTGCTGTACTGTTTAAAGTTAACATGACCTGAAAACAACATCCTCCATAAATAAAGATGATATTAAGACTTAAACAAGCCAATTGTATCCTGTTCTGATGTTCTTTTGGTTCAGTTCCACCGGTGTGTCTTTTTTAATTAACTTATATCATGCCATTATTTTATTTAATGAAGTAAGCACATCTTAGTTGAGACAACCTGGCAATCTTGGAACACCCACACTCTCAATCTGTGTAGAGTCAAGGAAAATATGTTAATCTGTATGTAGGGCCTTTCTGCACACTGTTGTGTACGGCTACTGAGCCTTAGCAACACTGCAACCGCCTCATTATTTTGTGCTGACGCTGCTCTGAATGTGGACAGCCACTGTACACAGCCTTCTTTCAGACTGGTCCTATATTTCACATTGTGCTTAGATAGGAGCAACATAAACTATTGTTAATTAGTAGTCTGTCCCAGCTGAATCCAGCATATAATGCCTGTGCACAATTGCGTTTCGCCCACAAAATACGCAGTCAATTCCACTTTACAATGTATTCTGTGAAGCACTTTAAGATGTCTCGATGACGTGATAAGGCGCTATATCAAATGCAAAGATTATTATTATCATTATTACTGGTGTAAATCCCTCCCCGTGTGTGAGCAAGATTCTTTCTGTAACTTTATGTAAAAACCTGATTCAGTCTTTGCGTATCAAGCGAGAGGACAGTTGGGTGTGTATTTTAGTCAATCAAACCAATTATGGTGGGGGCGGGGAGGTGGTCGAGACACTCAGGAATAAGCCAATTTATTGATTGTTTTGTGATTTTTCTTTTTGAAATAAAAATGGGAACTTTGTATTGATTTCACTAATACTGTGGGTGTTTTCCATCTCTTCTAGATGGTGCAGTCTCTGGGATTCGCTATCTACCGGGCACTGGATTGGGGTCTGGAGGAGAATGAGGAGAGAGAACTGAGTCGGCAGTTGGAGCAGCTTATCGATCAGATGGCAAACTGTGACTCGGAAGGCAGCAATGGGACATCTGATGAGGGCTACAGTGGGCAGGAGGAGGAGGAGGAGAGCGATAATGCACCACGCTCAGTGAGGACTTTTGAACAAGTAATGCGAGCGTGTGCTGCACATTTAGTGGACCCTAATGAGGCCAATGCACATTATCAAGCAGTCTGCCGGGCACTGTTTGTGGAAACGTTAGAGCTGAAGACATTCCTGGTGAAAATTAAAGATGCTAAAGAGGTAAGATGAAACTTTGCATCAGGGAAGGAGAGAAGTGATCATTTTAGAAGTTGGTTTAGAACCGTACTGGTTTAGGAAACATTGCACTGTTCAAACCACATTCCAACACTAAAGCCAGGAGAATTGAAATGAGATGGTCGTTCTTCCCTTGAGTGTTGTGAACTAAGAAAGTCAGCCCTTTGATGGTGTGTTCCCAGTGTTCTTTCACAAGTACAGTGGACCTGTGATTCACAGACTCTGCAGCAGTGGTTTTGTGAAAGTTTCTGCTCGTGGTTTGGAATACATCATAGTTGTTTGTGTTCTGTGATTAGGTTTTAAACTCTTTGCAGAATGCATTTCATGATGAAGACGTTGGTAATTTTGTTGTTGTTGTTGTTGTTTACTGGCATCAACGGATGAGGTGATTGTAACAACGACGACACTTCTGTGTAGGATTACGCGTGGTGACTGGGCACCGGGGAGGGCTGCCAGGAACAGAATTCTTTCCTTGTAAATTACTTGCTTCCTAATATCTCCCACTATTTCGTAAGTGTGTACGCACTATCCCGCAGAGCCTTGCTGATGGGAAATACTGTACATATTTGATTTAAGATCACAAAAAATTCCACGCAAGTGATAAAATCAGTAACAAGTGATTTGCGGAAAATTTGGGATCCACTCTAGCCTGGAGACCCATGGCCTGGTAAAGACAGTAACATGGGCCGTACTCTTTACAATGTACTGTGGATGAGGTCCCACATTATGGTGGGGTTTTACAGCGCTTGGAATCCAGACCGATGAAGATTCCGTCATCTTTTCACAGTAAGTTACGTCACAAACACAAGCTGTCCACAGGCAAATGAAGAATCCGCTAGATTTCCTCCTGAATATATTTGGTGAAGGAATACATTTCCTGCGTGTAGATCGTATGCCTTTCACGTAAGATAAGATCTGGAGGGTCTTTACAGAAACAACAGTTGCTTTAGTTTGAAATTATTTGTCGGGAGGATGTCTCAAATCGCTTCACGGAATTGGCTGCAAAGCGTCTGTCGGCGAAGACATAATCAAAGGTAAACTTTGATGTGTTGATACAAATTGGTTTGGAATCTGATCTCATTGCAAGTCATGCAGAACAAACAGAGGTGATTGTTTTGACAGCTCTCGACTAAGTATTTAAGTCTAGATTTAAAAATAATCAGGATTGGCGGAGGAGAACAGAATATTAGAACTATGAGGCACATTGCCGAGGAATAGGGGGATCTGATTCTGGCCTCAGCCACATGTGCGTTCCTTGAACTAAAGTATATGTCCCGGAAGAGGGAATGGCACAGCCACTCATTATGGGTTCGGTCGATCAATAGTGGAGCATGACTAAAGTCTCAAAACAAATGGTACAAGAACGTTTATATGCTGATGACTCATAGCTCACTGTGAAGAGGACCTTCAGCTGATGATGGGATGCTGTTACAGAGCTATAGTGTCTGTCTGTAGCCTGTTTTCTCTAATCTTACTCGTACACATAGCTAGTCCACCCTTTCTCCCTTTTCTCTCCCAAGTACTTGGAATCCACACCCTGCCAGCTCGGTTGGAATGAGGAAATCTGCATTGTCTGTGTGTGAGATGTCTGTGTCTGTTTTGCCATTTCTTAATGTGTAGCTGTTTAGCCTCTACCCACTGCATTACAGGGTGTTCCGTCAGCTACAGCCTTGATCTCTTGAGTGATGTCTGCTTGAGCACACAATTGCATCAAGTTGGAAGTGTTTAAGGGAGTGAACGTGCCTGATGTGTTTCTCAGCACTTAACTGAAAATGTCAAATATTGTTGGAGTAAAAGAATTGGGACTGTGCAGATCATTTGAACAGATAATCACCACGCCTCATATTTGCTATTCAAGAATTTGTGTACACTTAGCCAGAAATGAAAATGCCATATGATGCCCTAATGCCTAAAAAATCCCTCCTGAAATACAAAATACAGTATCGATCAAAGGAGAAACTAAACAAATCAAACCAGAATATCTGGATTGCACTTCCAAAAGGAGTAGCTGCCCTATATAAATGCCACAGCAAGTGTTTGTGAGAAGATTTATCAGGATGATGAAACTATGGCCCATTTCTCCAGGTTTAACTATAGTCGTAATTACAGTGAACAGATTCAGGCATGACGTTTAATGCTGTTGTTCTCCAGTAGCACACAGAGTGACTAACCTAATCACGAGTAATTAAACATAAACGTAAGCTCATTGCTTTCGTTGTTGACCAACTCAATGTTCAAAAATTAAATCCATCCAATTTGAATCTTTTCGACTTAGCACGAGCGAAAAGATGTATTTTTTTGCGAAGGGGGCCAGGGGAGATGGTTTCATTGAGTCAGTTTGGCAATAGATGCTGCTGTACACTGTATTTGAGGTAGGACCAATTTTGGTTAAGTCCCATTTTCAGCACACTGCAGAGCCTGTCACTGTCTTCTCAGGGGATCTCACTGCTTCTTTCCAAATATAGATTGTGTTTTTGATGTTGGATACAGTCATGGGCCGCCCAAGTACAGAAAGCGAATCAATAACAGAACAGCATAAACCAAAATGCATAAGGTTTTCACAACTCATTAGTGCTGCCAGCACACTCCTACCTTAAATAACGCTACAGCTACTATTCAACTGGTGTTATTAATTACCTCCCACCGTTCAACAACAACAAGAAATTACATTTGTATAGTCTCTTTCGTGTCGGGAGGACATCCCAAGGCGCTGAAACCTTTTCCTGCTCTGTTTGTGACATCTTCTCCCCCGCCCCCACCTCCCCCTTCCCTGTCCCAAAGTGCATAACAGAATATATTATAAAGTGGAGATGCTGTGTATTTTGTGGGCGAAACATGGTCTATTGTTGTGGTAGAAGTGTTGTGGTAACACAATGGATCCATCCTGTACAGACAGCCTGCAGTGAGGATGTGATGCTGTCTGAACTATTTGAGGCAAGGCAGGATACAGTAAAGAACAGAATGTGACATTGCGTTGCTCCTAATCAAAACTAAAGAATTGCCTCTCTTTTCTCCCATTGCCCATTGTAAGAGCAGCATTAATGTTGACAAAGATCTTCTCACTGTTTCACTATGAGAAGCCACTGGAATGATTTGTACTATACTGTACTCCCAGGCCCACTATAAATTGGTGGAGATTCACTGAATAAATGTGCTTTCAGGGTGAACGCAAACAGACTGTGATTTCACTTTCCAAGAAACTGGAAGTGGTCAAGGATCCGGTGCTTAGGAGTTCCACTCGCTTTCTTTAAATATTGTTTGGTTAGTAAGTGTAGGGTAACTTATTGCAGGGCTCTTCTGGGGATTGTCAGTGTAACTAAAAGCAAACAGAATGTTGTTTTCGCATGGCTCCTTAGTTTTATTGCTATTTGAACCTGCGGAGGATATAAGACTTTGACTCTACATCTGCAGTGTTAGTTGCACAAGGTTTAGTCAGTGAAATCTTTAAGTGTTTGCGCAAGTAATACGTTTTGAAGAATATTGTATTACAAATTTCTAGTTCTGTATTGATTGGTTGATTGATTGATTGATTGATTGAGATCTATGCAATGTCCCACTCTGTTCTTTACTATATCCTGCCTTGCTGTTTGTTCGGGGTGTTGGACCCTTTAAAGAGACCACTGTCAGAATCCCACCTCAGATGATCAAGCCAAAGAAGAGCTCAAATAACCAAGGAAATGGTTGTTTTGTCTGCCACTTACTGCTAAATTTTTAATTTGTTTTTATATAAGTCAGGATAAGGAAAACTCTCATTTTTTTGCTGCCTGAATTGATCAGGTGTTTTGGCGAGACCTTACCCTTTACTTGGCTCTTTTTTTTGAAAGGTTCTAAAGAGGAGCAAGGAAAAAAAGTGTAAAAAAAACATTTTTGAAAAGCAAAACTGCACGTGGATGTTGGCAAACGTGCGGTCTTTCTGTTTTTGTCATTTTTACACTTTTCTTTCTCTCTGCTCCCGTTTAGACCCACAGCGAGAGAAGCCAAGTATTGAGTGTGTCCCACACTCGGACTCCTCCTTCTAGCTGTCTCTGACTCAACTGTTGGGCTGCAGTTTCGTAGCGACGAAGGTGAGAGGCTAGGAGAGGAGGAGAGAGATTAGATTCTATTCTGTTCGTTACTTCTAGTTTTGCAAATTTGAGACCTGCCCGTCAGATTCTTCCTTGGTGCCCATAGGCCATTTTGCTATGATACTGCAACAAACCCCCACCAGCCTCATAGAATCAGAAAAATTTACAGCGCAGAAGGAAGCCATTCGGCCCATCGAGACTGCAACTGCATCAGTTCTCAGAGCCTATGTGAGAAAGAGAGAGCAAGAGAGAGAGTCTTGCTTTATTCAGGATTTTCTTCTTTGTATCTTGACTTGTGGACGTACATAAGCTTGTGTCACATGGCCTCAACCAAAACATTGAGAGCCTAAGAATGGCTAGATCAAAAAAGACCAAGGCCTATCCAGTTCGTCTTTTACCATCCTGGCAGTCGCTACCTCATGTCATGTCCTAAACTACATAAGAACATGATGTGAACTATATTGAAATCTACAGCTTTGGCCATTGTGCTGAATGTTTGCCTGCGGAAGATTGTGTGTGCACAGTTCGTAGCCGGAGGAGCCCAGGTTGTTTGGCTGTCCAAGACATTTTGTAGATTTAGTTGACGGTGAAACATGGAAGCATTTAATTACAATGGTCAGGACAGCTGAGTCTGGATGTTACCGAGGAACGTGGAAGATCATTCCAAATAATCTTACTGACAATTATGGAAGTTGTAATGCCAACTGATCCAAAGAGAGTTTTGTGGGTGATTTTGTTCTGTGCTTCCAAAACAATCAAATCCATCTCCTGAATCACTGGCATCATGAGCACAGCTTTTCAAGAGAGCTTGTGTCCAGATGGAGAGTGGTTTTAAGGAAAAGTTTCAGAGTAAGAACGTATGACAGCGCAGATAGCAGCTGAGGCCGAATGAAGAAATATCGTTGTTTCAGCCCCGGCTTTGGAAATCCATGAATTAACAGCCCAGAAGAGGAGGCAAGCAGTAAAGGGGCAAATTTGTTTTTGTTTTTAAAAATTGTGTTCCAACTCATGTCCCTGGATACAGCCGGCACGGGATTGGAGAAAAGATCTTTAGTGCAGTGTTTTTGTTTTTGTCCATAAGATTTCTTGGTAAAATTCTCCATTCAGGCACTTAGCAGCACAAGTTACTGACATTTTTCCAAACATTTGCTAACTTGTATTACAGTATTTTCCCTCTGGCCACACCAAGCCTTGACTAACAGAACCAGATCAAAAAATACCAAAGTGTAATGTTTACTGGATGGTGATTCTGTGGATTGCAGTGCAATGTGTTTTATTCCTCTATAATATAAAGGTTACAGTGCAGGTAATATAATGTACACCTGGATTTAAGTGTCGTGGTTAGGAACAATAGATTGCTTATCAATAAACCTAGTGATAGGATAATTGCCCTCAGTAAACAACAGCTTGGATCATTTGCACATTGAGTTTCCAGCTCTTCCCACAATATAAACAGAGGAAAGCAGATGAATAATAGCAAGGAATATTTCATAGGCTGTGATCTTGTCATATCTGACCTGGAGTGCTGGATGTTTTACAGTACTGAAAACTCAAAATAAGGAAGTGTTCTATTGGCTAATGCTACCTCTTATGTCTGAGCACATAAATGTAAACCTCAAAAGGTGACCTGTGGCGGGATTTAATTTGGGAAGTAAGAGAACAAAGCAGAAAAATTGATGAACAGGAGGAGCCCATTTCTTTATAAAAGATTTTGATTTCCCTCTTTCTCCATGCTTTTACCTCCCAGAGTAAATAAATCAAGTGCAGACTCAATAGGATTTTACAGTAAAGTGTAGTGAGTGTATTCTGTAGAAGAACATTTGTAAGGCTCCAAGCTGAATGTTGCAGGGACATTTAAATCACTTGTAACTTGAACCTGCTGGTGGGAACTGCAGGCATTAAACCAGCAATTGGAATATCTTCACCCATTGTTACTGTACTGAATAACATTATTGAGGAAGGTACACCATGTTAACTTGGGGTCCTGCCAATGTCATTCCTGCTGGCCAGGAATTATCCACCTTGTTCTATGAGAGATCAACCTCTTGATTTCAAGAGCTACATTCTGTATGTTTTGGCAGCAGCTGTTGGAATATTATAATACACATCCATCTCAGATCAGATCATGTTAGTTAATGGCATTAGTATTAGTAGCATTTTTATTAATGTCTCATTTTGTTTCCCTCCTTCAGTATTTGGTGCAGTAATCCAATGGAGTCCTTAAAATAACTCATTTTTTTCTTCTCTTTGTCCAAGACGCTATCCTACCAGCTTATCACTACATTGGAGCATGTACAATCCTTAGATATTGTACCTTTCTTGCCATTAAGTACAAAGTTTGATTAAAACTGTAAAGAGGCTTTTTTTATTTATGAATTAATATTAATTCTGTGTGAAATCCCAAGAATTGTTTTGATTTATTCATGATATACTCCAAATCCACTCCAAATGTCCTGCAGTGATTTGTTCCAAATCACATCAGTATAATAAGAACCTGAAGCCCTTAAAGCTTGATTGTTATCAAGCTAAAATTCTTATCAGCATCTTTTAATAAAATGATAATCAAATCTGGATTATAAATTAGACAATTTAAAATCTATTCCCCTGGTAGGTAGAGCAAATTATATGGGAGTCTTCCAGCTTTTATTTGGAATGAGTTCATGAAGTTAAATTCGTGTTTTTCAATTAGCTCCTCCACTCTAGTAAATCAGTCAGGTGTCAGAATTCAGAAATAATGCAAAAGTTCAACATTGGCTAACTGTCTGCACTAAAAATAAAAGCTGGGTTTGTTACAAAGGAGATTGATATCACTCGAGTTGAAGTTGGGGCCTAGATCTGGGAGTAGAGGGAAATTGTTGCTGTTGGGAATCCACAATCTGAGATGTTTTGAAATCCGCCAGTTTTTTNAATATAATAATAATAATAATCCTTGCATTTGGTATAGCGCTTTTCACATCGGGAGGACGTCCCAAAGCGCTTCACAGAACACACTGTAAAATGAATTGACTGTATATTTGTGGGCGAACGCGGCAGCCAATTGCGCACAGCAATGTCCCACAAACAGTCGTAGATTGAAAATGACCAATTTTTATTATAGTTTTGGTTTTTGGAGGGATTATTATTAGGCGTGTGGAGTAAGGAAACTTGCCCAAGGTTTCGCCCTGCCTGGAATTGAGCTCAGGTCTCTCGCTTGCAAAGTGAGTGCTCTAACCACTGAGCTACAGGACTCCACCTGATTTATAATTTATTAGCGATTTATTAGCGATTTCTGCATGTACTTTTTTTTTCAACGCTAGTTTGTTGTGTCTACTAACAGTATAGAAGCTGTGATGATGGTCACTCTGATATTCATATACTTTGTGTTCATATACTTTGTGTTCCAGATGCTGAAGAAGATGCAGGCTGGAGAGCCCCAGTCAGAACACACAGCAACGGTGGAGCTCAATAACCTGAACCATACTGATTGGGTGGGTGAAGCTCTTCAAAAGGTTGTTTGAGAGCTGTTTCCTCTGCACTTCCCTTATCCTTGCCCATTGTCGGTCGGGCATTCAGCAACTCTGCCCCGACACGCTGGAACTCTATCCCGCAATCCCTCCGCCTCACCCCCTCTCTTGCCTCCTTCAAGTCCCGTCTAAAGACCTTCCCCTTCGCCCCTGCCTTCGGCCACCCCCACCTGCCCTCCATCCCTCCTGACCCCAACTCTCAGCTTGGGTCCAAAAATCCCTGATTGCCCTGGGAGGTCTTTCCGACATGAAGGGTTCTGTACAAGTGTAATTTGTTGTTGTTGCCCTGCAGGCCCGGCTCTGGGTGCAGTTGATGAGGGAACTGCGTTACGGTGTCAAACTAAAAAACGTTCAGGAAAAACAATACAACCCTCTGCCAACCGAATTCCAACTGACGCCGTTTGAGATGCTGATGCAGGACATTCGAACTCGCAAATATAAACTCCGCAAGGTGATGGTAAGAGCAACCAGTCCATCTTTGTTTCTTTTGTTTTAAACCTTTTCCAGCAGAAAGTTGACGCACTCGCTTATAAAATATAGTCACAACACTTTACTGCAACTATTTTACCCACACACAGTCAATCCATTTTACAGTATATCCTATGAAGCGCCTTGAGATGTCTTGAGGTGATAACGTGCTATATCATACATAAGGATTATTATTATTATTGTAAATCTTGTGGAGTGCTTTGTGACGACCTCCCAACAAAATGCTGACTTGTGGGGCATCAGGTCACCCGTCAACATCACTTCCCTCCCCTCAGTCATGTTGCTGTATACGAGCCTCGCTGCAGTGGCTGTTCTTTATGTATGAGCCAAGATAATGAATACATGTCAGTGGTCTAGTCAAGCATTGCAGCCACCCTGATTCTTACAATTTCAAACCAAGGTAACTGGGTAGTGAACAAGAACAGGAACCCTGATGGATTTTGATTTCCCCTCTAACTACGGACACAAGAATGCCTCTGAGTCACCCTCACAAAATTTATCTAACTCCGCACAGATCATATTGAAACCGATCTTTACGGCTCAGTTTTATACTTTATGGCTTTACCAACTGTGTCATTCATTGATGAAGCTTTTATTTATAGTTTTGATATTCCATGTATGTTTCAAATTTTACTAATAATCTGCTTGCAGAAGTCCTACTAAATGTAATATGTGTTGGATATTTTTGTGAGGTTCCTTAATCTGTCCTTTGATTTTTGTCACATGACAATGCTATTTTACATTTAATAATAATAATCCTTGCATTTAATATAGCTCCTTATCCTGTCATTGAGACATTTCAAAGCTCTTCACGGGATAAACTGTAAAGTGGAGTGACTGTATTTCTTCTGGGTGAAATTGTAGAGAGCCTTTCACATCGAGAGGATGTCTCAAAGTGTTTCTCACAGTTGACTGTGAAAGGAGCTGAATAGTGTTTTGCCTCCGTTTCCTGAGCAAGTGACCCAGGATAATCCAAGTTGTCTTTCAAGCAGTCAGCGTCTATACCTGCGGGGGTTTAAGAACAATTGAACATTGAAGATCAGCTAATTTGGGTTGGCATTATTTGTTGAGGCCCGTGTACTCTCTGCAATGGCATCGTGGAGAGGGTACAGATTCTGACAGCTACTAATCCGCTTTTATCAATATTTTATTTGGGGAAGATTATTCTGATTCTGTACTCAGTGGTGAAGTGCAGCTCAATGGGATCAGCTCCTGACTTGTCATTCTACTCTGGTCATGGAATATAAATATAGAATGTTTCACTCAGCCCTGGATTGATTTCTTCTTTTCTGCTGAGTATAATAATAATAATAATCCTTGCATTTGATATAGTGCTTTTCACGTCTTCTAGACGTCTCAAAGCGCTTCACAGAATAGACTGTAAAGTGAATTGACCGTATATTTGTGGACGAAACGCGGCAGCCAATTGCTCGCAGCAGCGTCCCACAAACAGTCGTGGATTGAAAATGACCAATTTATTATTGTTTTGGAGGGATTATTATTAGGCGTGTGGAGGAAGGAAACTTGCTTATTACATAGACATTATTACATAGACAAGTAAACGTTTTCACAATACCAGGTCTTGTGCATTTAATGTGTTCTTGGACAGTGTTTATATTCAGTTCCCAAATCAATTTTGCTTTTTAAAAAAATAGTTAATAAGCAAAACCTGGTTATTTTCTTTTTATTTGATGTGAACCCAGAAAGGACTTTTTTTTAATGATTGATGGTGAAAAAAAAATACTTTCTCTTCTCTACCTTCTGCTTCTGAAGGTCATGACTGACGATAAGGTATGGTTTTTATTGTCAGTATGGTTCTGAACAGAATGAATACTTTTTATTAAGCTAAGTGGAGACACTGTGGGATTGCTGAAAAGCAGCCAATGTTATTGACTTGGTTCGCTTCAGTAGTTTTATTTGTGCCTCATTGCTAACTCTCTTGCTCTGATGACACAAGCTGAAATTGTATTTCTATTTTGCAGGTAAATGGGGACCTCCCACCTCGCGTCAAGAAAGATGCTCATGAACTCATTCTTGATTTTATAAGATCACGGCCTCCTTTAAAACCGGTAAACGTTAACCTGATACAAACTTTTCTACTTCAAACAGATGTTTTAACTTAATTCTCTCTCTCTCTCTCTTCCTCCCTTCCTCCCACACATTGTTCTTTTCCTAGTTCCCTTTCTGTTCTTATTCTCCCTGTTGTTCTTTTGGAAAGGGCTCGTGTCTCCCCTAAATTTCTTTCAGTTTTCCACCTGCTCTCCACCTCTGTTTTTCTCTGCTTCCTGTGTTATTACCAGCTACTTGGCTAGGATTTCTAATGACAACATGGGTTTGGTAAGAGCTACTTTTTAATGATTGGGTAATTCATCCCAGGCTGAACCTTAACTAAATATTAGCCTTATTCTTTCCAGAATCTAATCTGAACTAATGCAATAACTTCCATGTACTTTCCCTGTTTGCTGCGTTGCTGTGTTTGTAAAAATTACGCCTACAATATCTGACCTACATGGAGGAAATGTATCGGATTATTAGACTGCACCCTTATCAAGCATGTACTTAGAATTTGATTCTCTGTGTCTGGATATCTGGAAACCAATGTAAAGGATTGAGAAGCATTAGATTATGTTTTTTAGAAAGAACATCACCAGATGCACACACAGAATACACGCGCATGTAAATAAATTGACAACACTCTCAGCGGAGGGTCGCATTAAGCGTTGGCACGGACTATGGACTAACATGCCAAGAAAGGAAAATGTTTACAGTAGTTAAACCCACTTCCCCCCACCTCCCACCCCAAAATGTGCTGACTGTTAACAATTAAATCCTGGTCTGTAATTCAGTAATTTGACAAGAGAGCCAATCTGAATGTGTAACCACTTGAATTAATTATTTGTTTGAAGAAACTATGTGTATTTGACACTTAGGTTTGGGGTGTTAACAGTCAGGTTCATTGAGGATCCTTCGATCTAGCTATTGGACAGCGAAAACTCATCAGCTATTTATTTGACAATAATGTATTCACGCACACGCACTATATGGAGGCACCTCCTCACTTTGTCCAACATTCAGTGACCCTGCTCACCATGCATGTGATGCCACTTATTTTTCAGACTTGTTTTAAAGACAATTACTTTGCAGAAGCTTTTTGTAAGATTGTTTTTGTGTTTCTCAATTGCCCTCATCTCTCCTCTGGCCTTTGTTGGGTCTTAACAGGTTCGAATTTCCATTGGATGATTGATGTCCATGGAAATCAGAGATGTCCAGTTAGACAGCTGGACACTTATAGTCATATAAATATTTTGCAGATCAATCCGTATCAATTATCAATAACATAAATAAAAATAGTTTGGTGCAATATTGATCTTTAACTGGCAAGTACTGTACAATATTTAAATAAGACATGCTAAAGATAATTGGGGGCAAAATATAGTGCTTCATCACCCTTTTCTATCACACTTTATTCAATTTGTTATTAGGTTCATCAGCATTTAAAGAATTAAATCCTAGGCCTGCAATGTGATGTGTGGCTGGTTTTCTGAAGATATACTTTATGTTGTTGACGTATTCTTAGTCCAGTTTGAAAGGAACCTCTGGAGTGGGATATTGCTTGCAATTATCAGTTCAAATAGTGTGGGCATCTTGTCAGAAGTGTCTTCTGTTGTCAAGTGCAGTTGGCCACTGAATTTAATCCTATTACCTCAGCAGAAAGATTCCCTTCCAAGCAGCCTTTAATAATGGAAAAGCATGCTCTGTGTGTGCGTTTGTGTGTGTATTGGGGGTGGTGAAGAGAGAGAGAGAGAATATTATTTATTCAACCATACTGAAGTTGATTGACCACAGAGTAGCAATGATAGTTGTAATGTGTATATTATAATAATATAGTGCTAAATTTACATTTCTTTCAAGCATGTTTGGCAAAGGAATTATAAAATAGAGCAACTGAAAGATTCAGTGCTGAAGGCATACTGTACTCTCTTTACTACACTGTAATGGCTAGAGCCATTCACAGCATTCTCATTCAGCCAATAGCTAGTCATGCGTGTGCATCCTACACCTTGTGCTAGTACAGGAACTACTTGCTCCAGAAATCAGAGTACCACTGTATACGTGCAGGAAAGTGCCACAACACCCCTTGACATATCCACGTGACATTGTAATGTGTGCCTGGAGCACCACTGCATGGGAGTGCAGCACATGTCAATTAATGTAATGCAAAACACCAACCAGGAAAGTTGAGCAGGGATGGCAAAGAAATTTAATGACATTAATTAAGGAATTACTCGCTCTTGGATGGCTTCTTGACTGGATTCTCCACATGCAAGCAAACCAATGATTATTTTAATCCACTGTGTGGGAAAAGTAGTTGTAAATTTGAAAACTAATTGCACTTAATCAAAGGACGGTTTTGATAATATAAATATAAGATTTCAAGAGAGATGTTTTAGGAAAATTCCTAGAAAGGAAAGGCAATTTGGGTTATTGGATGAGGGGATGGAAGGAATCATTTGGAATTTTGGGTGGGGAGGCTGAATGGACCAGTAGGCAACTCCTGGTTGAAACTGTTAACCTGTTACTGTTTGATATTATAGCACTATCATTAGAAGTATTATAAATTCCTTTTAATCAGTGCTCCCCACAGGCTAAATAAAGGGTTTGATTCATTCCTCTCAGGTCTCGGAAAGAAATCTACGCCCCAAACCTCAGAAACCTCCCTGTTTGCATGAGAGGATTCTGGAAGAGATCAAATCTGAGAGAAAACTTCGGCCAGTGGCGAAATTGGGCAGAAACAAGTTGCAAGGTGAGGTGCCCTGTGTGAGCCCAGAGCACAACCCAACACAGCCCCCGCAGAACAGAGGAGGGAGGTTAATCAGTAAACTGTCCAATAATGTATAATGGAAACACGACAAAAGCTAAGAACAACACTAGGAAAGTGTATACTTAGATCGTGAATCACAAAATACTCCACGTACAGCCCCTTCAAGAAAAATATTACACTGTATTTACAAGTTTCTGATGTAACTGTAATTCTCACACTCTGAGGTTCTTTTCAATATGCAGATTTGAAATTATTTTATCCTAAACATAAGCAACTTTTATCAAACATTGGGCTTTATACAGTAGAGCCCTGTCACCAGCCAGTAGTTGGGGGTCTGTAAAATTCCAACCTTACCCTGCCACAGAGCGTGGCCCAGAGTGGCTGCTGGTCACCGCACTGTCAGCACACAGAAAGCTGTCCAGCTTCTGGGTCATTGGGTCACCACTGACGTTGACGTCAACCAGGGTTTAGGGTGGAAAGCCGACTGGATATGTGCACCTGCCTTATAAGCGAACCAGCTTTATATGAGACCTCTTATAGTGGGACTCCACTGTGTGTGACTTCTCTAATATTCACTCCTCCAGAGTGCACAGAGTCAGTGTACTTTGCCTCTTCTGCTAACTTGATCTGGCTAACCTTTGATTACCTTCATGTTACCAATTCATTGTCTTTTCAGAGGTAACATTTGGATCATTGCCATGCCTTGTGCATGCCTGCACTGATCAACTAAAGTCCACTTCGTGCATAGACCTCTCAACTCCTGAGCCCACGGGAAGCTCACTGCGTCCTCGACCCAGAGTATTACTGAAAGCTCCAACCCTGGCTGAGATGGAAGAAATGAGCATTTCTGAGGTAGGAGTCAAACCAACTTTCTCTGTGTGTGCTTCAGGACTGTTTAAAATGAATATGAAGAGTGATGGACTCTTGGAGCAAGCTGAAGTCTATAATTTACTTATAAGACTGCAGGATATGTTGCAGGAAAGCGAAGGTATTGACAAACGTACTTTGCTAAAAATGTGCGGACACTGCTACGATGTAATGACTGTTTCCACCTGCATTTGCAGAAATACACACTCGCAGACTGCAATCTTAATAAGAGTCAGGTTAACGTTGAGATCTGTGGAGTATAGTTCTACTGGCATCCGGATTTCCTTTATTAATTAGTGTGTGGAGTTTGATAAATGGTTGAATTTAGTATTAGCTTTGAAGCCCACTTTCTGTGGTTCTTAAAAGAAAACCGACTTCAAAATGAAATACTGATCAGATGGCATGATGGGGTTGCGTGTCTATTGAAGGTAGGGATGTAAGGCTTATAATAGCCTATGGCATATTGTAATAATAATAATAATCCTTGCATTTGATATAGCGCTTTTCACGTCAGAAGGACGTCCCAAAGCGCTTCACAGAATATACTGTAAAGTGAATTGACTGTATTTGTGGGCGAACGCGGCAGCCAATTGCGCACCGCAATGTCCCACAAACAGTCGTAGATTGAAAATGACTAATTTATTATTGTTTTGGTTTTGGAGGGATTATTATTAGGCTCTGTGTGGAGTAAGGAAACTTGCCCAAGGTTTCGCCCTCTGCCTGGAATTGAACTCAGGTCTCTCACTTGCAAAGCGAGTGCTCTAACCACTGAGCTACAGGACTCCACTCCTTATTAATATAGTAATAATTGGTATGTTTGCTTTCTTCTTTGTCCAGAGATTAAGATTATGATTGTTTTTTTCTTAAAGGGATTAAGATTATTAAGATGTGGAGCTTTCATTAGAATGAAAGAAATCATTTAATGATTCCTCAGAATCATTATTATTTCTTTAACCAGTCAAGTTTGGCCTGACACAGTTAAGTTGCACAAAACTAGTCAATTAACCTAGAATCAAAGAGATGCCTTATCAGTAAATAATATTTCAATGGCAATTTCACCCTAACTCTTAAGTAAATTTAAAGAGTCACATGAGGTACAATTTTGATGCATTAATGTGAAGAGAAGAATTGATCATGATCCTTGAATGACGATGTTTACCTGCTTCCAGGAGCTCAGTTGAGGAAATTCTACTGTAATCTACAAGGCCAGAAAGTGTACATGTTGCTTTTTTTGTCAGAAGGAAGGTAACGTGAATGGGTTTTAATGCACTACTCCACTCCTGCACGGACTGGAGGAGGGGCTAGAAATTCAACAGGTTTAGTACTGTGGACTTGTTTCTTTAAATAGGAGGAAGAGTCACCCAATGGCGAGATCAGAAGGGTAACAAGCTCTCCGATACCACTCAAGCGCGATCGTTCCTTCTCAGAACATGATCTGACCCAGTTACAGAGCGAGTTAGCCCTATCGCAGTCGGAATCCGCTTATCTATCAACAAAGGGCTCTGACTTGAGACTCTGTTCAGGAAGTACAGTCACTCTCGCTGAAGCTGCCTCTTCAAACAAAGGTGAGTGTTCTCTCCTTTTCCCCCTTCTCATCTCAAAAGATGCTTCTCAATAATCTCTCAAATGCCATCAGAACAGATGTAATAACATCCAGGGTGCACAGCAACAAATTACATTTGCATAGCGTCTTTCATGGCGGAAGGACATCTCAAGGCGCTAGACAGTCAAGGATTTGCACCCGATAACACTCCTAGAATATGATAACATTATATTATTATATAATATGGTAACACTCCTATGAATGCTGCTTTATGGCTGGCTTGCTCCACTGGGGTTCTTCCCCCTCCTTCATATACTTTTCAGTTTATAAATGAAGATATTAAACCAAGGCAGATGGCACTTTGGATCTCAAATTCATGACTTTTCTGGTTGATTGCTAAACGTTCAAATGGATGAGCTACTGGACATTTGGTGGAATAATTTTTAACATCTTGTGAATTATTTCCAAAAGAAAAGCACTGGGGTCTCACTGGGATGTCTAAAAAAAAACGAAAATTGGACACTAACTGGGTGGAAGTTGAATATTGTTAAAGCTTTTATATTTCTGTATTTTCTATGTGTAATGGTGATTATTCAAGGCCCAGGTCACTAACTCAAGTGCTGCTGCTAATGATGATGATAAAATAACAATAATATAATAATAAGCCTTGTATTTGGTATTATTAAGTGATGGAAACACTGGGCTTCTGATTAAAGGTCCCAAAAGTATGGAACATCTCTTCAATTTTAACATTCCAGTAATTAATTAAGAAATCCTACTGAGTGTGTTGGAAATAAACCTCTTTGTGAGATAGTATTACATGTAGAAGGTTATTTGGGTGATCCTTTCTGAATAGGGTCATTCTCTTCAAACGTGCCTTTAATTGGTTAGTTTATGGTCAGAGTTCAGATTGCTGAATCGTAACATTAATCTGGTTTAAAACAATGATTCTGAGAAATTATTGGGCTTCCCACCCTATCCCTGTTTGCCTACAAATACATAGTCACTACACTTGGCATATATCACGTGAAGCGCTTTGAGACGTCCTCCTGACATGAAAGGCACTATATGAAATGCAAGAATTATTACTATTATTATTATTAATTTCCTCATCTGAGTATTCACTACTGGGTCCTGCTGCCACACTTACCTGCTCCAAGGAATGATGTGAGTTAATCCAAGTTCACAAAAGTAATCCCATGGCTTTTGTTTGGGTTGTAAATATCTTCACGCAGCAATACATGACGAGCTCCCAGCTGTAATGTTTTGGAAAACTTCTCTCATCTCCTACACAAAGTTGTACACACAGTAACTAATGGTTAATTTCAGTAGGACCGAGTAAGGAGGCAGTACCAGCTGGCTCTCGTGCATGGAGAAGCACTCACTTGACTTCTTTACAAAGAGACCAACGTCATTCTACCCAGGATGTTCCAGGCAACGAGTCCACCTGTTCCAGGCGCCAGTGGATGGTGAGTAACCTCTTCTACTTCTGGCCAAGCATCGTGTGGACTAGATTTTGACTTTCCAATGGTAGAACACACTGCTCTCCCCTCCCGTGGACCTCTGTGGTACCTTCACCGATGCTGCTCCTGTTAGAACAGCTCGTGAGGGTAAGGTGGCAGGACCTGACACAGTATTTGTACTGCTTGGTTGTTTGGTTAGTTAGTTAGGTAATTAATGGTGGTTAATGGTTTGACTGAACATGACACCCAGATGGTGCCTGCACTGTTTTAAAATGCCCCATGACGCTGATGGCATTGATTAGCTGTAGTTATGTGCTGAACAACAGTGATTCCTTTACATTCAATTATTTCTGAAGCTTGATACTTCGTGCAACTCCCAGAATAATGTAACCATCTGTAATAAACAATGGCAGCCTCTTACAATGTCAACTCTCACTCCACCATTTTCTGCCGGTTACTAATGGCTCCGAGACGCTACCCCACCTGAAGAAAACCCTAATTGTTGTTCATATCCACTTGCTTGTGAGCGTCTCAGAAACCAGCAATGGCAATAGCGGGCTGTGCCTGCATTGAATTCCACACCTAAGACATGTCTAGTAATGGAAACCTATTGGAGATAGAACGGCAGTCTCCTGGGCTGGGAAATTCCACTCGGAATAAAGACATCATTTTTTTTTAAAAAGCGTAATGTAAATAAAGTTTTTAATGAATGGTTTTAAGGAATATAAATTGGACACACGGGATTGAATGATTCACGGTAACATGAGCATTGAGTCACTCTAGTACAATTATCGTCACTCATCTTCTGTTCATAATGCTTAAACGCGATAACTTGCCCCGGGGAGTGGAGACTTGAGCGTGGGTTAATCTTTCTTCCCAGGATGAATTCAGTCACCCGGTGGAGAGTCTTACATTGACTGTGGAGGAAGTCAGCAATGTTCGAAAAGTCTTAGTGAAAGCAGAAATGGAGAAGTTTGCACAAAACAAAGATCTCCACAACAACCTGAAAAAGGGAAAGGTAATTTATCCATAAAACCATAGAAATTTACAGCACAGAATCTGTTTCCTCTTTCAAGCTCTTAATTGCACATGTCCTCCAATAGCCAGGAGGAGGTCATTTTGGCCCTTTGTGTTTGCCATTGCTGCTTGTTTTTCTAAGTCACCTTTTTATAGATCCCTCTTTCCAGATCTTTTAGTATTTCCTTATTTTAAAAACACAATTGTTGGTATTGTTTTAAGGCTATTGACTTTTGATCTTTGCCCCACAGGTTTGCTGCTGCTGTAAAGTGAAGTTCCCTTTGATTTCATGGCCTTCATCCTGTCTATTCTGTAAAAGGTGACTTGACAAATATAATACTCTCACTACAAGTGTGGCATCTTGCAAGTATCCCTATAGATGCACTGATGGTGTCTAATGATCCACTGCTTAATTCAAGACAATATCGATGGTGTGGAGAGTTGATGTGTAGATATTTGCAAAGAATAAGCAATACTCTGATAATGCATGGACAAATCCAAATTGCATTCTCTCTCAATCTGAAAACCTGTTGAGTGTTTCCATTTATGAATTAACCAAAACAAAGAGCAAGATGTCACTTCAGAAAGAGCTTATGGCAAACGATGGAAGAGCTGTGAGAAACAGCCCAAAATAATGTCGGGAATCTATACCTTATTTTACAATTGATCGAAGATGTACAAAATGCTGGAATAGACTTGATTGTAAGGTTCATTAATTGTTTTAAAGAGAGACAAAACAAGCATTTCTCAAATAGATTTCAGTTTAAACTGCTGTTTTTTACCTAGAATGAGCAGATCAGGTTGAGATTCATTGTGACATCTTTTGACAGGGTTTTAAAAATTACTTAAATTAGAGGAAATGCAGAAAACAAAATCCAAGGCACCCCATCAAGCAAACATTTTGCAACAGTCAAGCTAGTTTAGGTGACTGATTTTCCAATGCTGTAAGAATTCCACCACTAAATGGATGTGTGTTTTCTTTCTCTTTCTAGAGCGGTCTGTGGCTCTTGTAGCTTAAAGGTGAGGACTGTGTTTTGACTGTTTTGGAAAATGTTCCCCATTAACACTATGCTAGAGAAGCCTGACCCCATAAATCAACATTTTGATTGATGCCTGTATCGTGATGTGTTCGTGGTTCGGGCCTGTAACCTGGAAAAGGGAGACCCCAACACAAGCAAGGCTAGCAAACCTGCACCTTCAGTATAGTAGTAATGTATCTCCTGAATTAAGTAATACAGAATGAGGATTAGCAGTGAACTAACTGATCCTCAGTTGCTGGGTAGGGCAGAAAGTAAAGCAAGTGGCATACACTATTACAAATATACAGGAATATTATTTCGGAAAATGTTGCATTAAACATTCACAAATTTGAAACTACAAAGAAAGTTCCATAAATCAGGCTTCGGTTACACATTCAGTTTTTCAAATAAAAGAAATGTGAAGAAATTCATTATAAACTGAACTGAACCCCTACCCCTTTCCTTCACTAATTTTGGTATACGGAAACCGTCATTAAAACCTATTAAGAGAGGCTGATTTCCGGGTCTGTTTTCTATTCAGATGAAGATTCCATCCAAGAAGTTGGCCCACATTCCGATCTACACAGTGGGTTTCAAAAATATCCCGGGAGCCAGTAATTCAAAAGCCTCTCAGAATAAAGGAACCTTTCCATCTCAGTAAGTCTGGGCCTGATCAACTGTTACAAAAATGTGCCGAAGCTTTGCTTGGGTCAGTTAGCATCAGCTAATACTGCTTTAAAGGGGCCAAAATGATGTTCCATCAATATTTTCAGTGAGCATTGGATTAGATGTTAAACCGAGGTCCTGTCTTCCTGTTCGGGAGGTCGTTTAAGATGCCGTGGCGCTACTCAAAAAGAGGAGAGTGTTTCTCCCGGCTTACAGTTGGTCATTCACTTTAGCGCTGTTTGTGAGATGATGTGGAGCGTAAATTGCTGCCACATTTGCCTATAAAAAACGCACAATCATTATACTTTTCAGTATATCCTATGAAGCACTTTGAGACGTCCTCCTGACGAGCTAGGTGCTATAACGAAAGCAAGGATGGTTAATTATGGTCAAACCCGTCTTCAGCAACCACTCAGGGCACTGAACCAAAGTGGCCTTTGTATAAGAGTGGCCACTGAGCAAGGCTTTGTTGGTGTGCGAACTGGGTGGTTGTCAACCGGGGGTGGTTGTTGAATGGAGGTGGTTTCTTGAACAGGTTTGACTGTTTAAATTAGTTGTTGACATCCTCATTTGGTATTGTAGGTCTCTGAAGAGCCTGAGTCACCGGTCAGTAGAAGAGGAATTTCCGCACCTCTACACGCACGGCTGCAGCATGAAAGACGTCTGTACCGAATGTGCAAAATTTGTTGCTGATGTCATTAACTCCAGCAGAAAAAGCTTGGACCTTCTGAATAGCACCCCATCGAGGAAAGTACAGTCCATGTACACCCGCTCAACACGATCCTCAAAACTTTAAGAGCAAAAGCAAAATCTTGACTGAATTTAAAATCACCGTGTGATAGCCAGCCAGAGCTTTTAAACAGCCACACACACTGCACGTGCTGACATTAATTCCTAAAAGATCAATGTGTAGTGCTTCAACGATACACCAGTGTCCGTCTGTCCGTCCTTCTGATCTCTTGGAGCTGTGACAGGTGTGGTGAGGATTGTGGAAATGAGCGAGACAGGTGGAATTCAAGTGACAAGGTTTTGTACGTTCTTGGTAAAAACACTTTTCACCAAGACGTAATTCTTGATTACAGTAAGAATAGAAATATTGTTGGGTTTTTTTNAGTTGGGGAGCAAAACCAGGCCTCTTTGTAATGAATTTTAGGGGTTAACACCTCATTGAGAGGAGAAGGGACAAGTAAAAATGTTTTCACCTTTTGCTGGCAAATAGTGGCTCTGTAGAAGCAATAGCGTTGATCGGGGAGACAAGAGTAGCATAGGATTCAAGGGTCTGAGACACAACTGTTTCAGGGGAGTGAGTGCAAAGAATTGGATATTTATTTTTTCAATCCATTTTTTAAAAATTCTTAACTTCGTTGGCTTTTGTTTGCTTATTCGCAATCCCCTGTAGGTCAGCTCCCTGGCTGCTGAGCCATTTACTAACGGTAGTTGACCTCCAAGATGGACTGGACTGGTATAGATATGTTCAGATCCCTGAGCTAACTAATTTAACTTTAACGTTAATTAGTTTAACTTCAGAATCCTTTCAGCTTAACTCACAACTAAACATCTTGGCGTCAGTCATTATTTCCTTTCAACAATGGCATTGGAGAGGCATGGATTTCCACCAGCAGCCTGAATTGGGCAGGAGAAATTTGTTAAAGTTTTTTTTTATTTTCTCTGCTGCTCAGCGGTGTCTCCAACTGACCAATCTGGAGGTGGGGTTTCAGGTTGAGGCATCTGAAATAGTGCTGATATAATGCGATATGCATGGCAATGTGATTAGTTTTTAAAAGGAGCGCTCAAGTGATTTACACTGGAGGCTATGAACATTTTCTCAGCACTGTGCTGGATCATTTGTGATACTGGGACCTGTTAACTGCTTGACATCAATCTGAAATGGGCTAATAACGTTTATAGGAGGCACATTGCTGCAAAGTTGTAAACCATATGAGGAGTTTAGTTGATGTCTTAAACACTTGAGAGCAAAAGCTTGGATGTTTCTATGAATTTGGCCAAAGTAGAAAGACTGTTACAAACTCGTCACACTGCACAAGATGCTGTTGCTTTGCTCTGTATCTGCTTCATGTTTTCCACATTTGCCAGTCTTTACCATTCGGGTTGTGCTCATTGCAGTGAGACAAATGAGATGGCAGATGAGGAAGCCAGTGTTTTTTTTTAACAGTGTACTCCCAGGGTATTCACATATTTTAAGTAAGTGACTAACCGATAAACAATGAAGCGACCACTTGGGGAAAACTGTGTACTGAAAACTGGCCATTAAAATCGCTTGTGCTGTTCGTTGTCTTCATTATTTTAAACCTCTTCCTTGCGGCTTGACCTTTTGTAGGGACGGCTAAGGGAACAAGTAGAGACATTTTAGAAGTCTCCGGAATAGGAACCCACAGAAAAGGTGGGGACAAAGCACAGTGGCTACACAGTGGTGTAATAAATGTGGAGTCGGTTGCATGTTTTACACGCAAATAAATCTTGACAGTAAAGTTGCATGATGCACTAACGGGTACCTGGTTATCTCCCCCTACAAGGCTAGGTAATCATACAGAGCTTCTCCATGTGCCTTTTAATTGTGACTGAATCTAATCGGACACAGATTAGCACAGCTCCAATATGTACTGTATAAAACTAGAAATATTTAGCACTGGACAATATTGATGCATCTATGGCAAAATGATTCTGATAAGTATCTGTGCATGTAGAAAGGGTTTCTCGGCTGAGCACATTGGCAAGGTCACTGGGTCACTTTTTGCTTCACGGCCTGTTAGAAAGGCATTGGGAAGTCCACCGGAACTTCAGGTCTAACATCTCCTCTGAAGGATGCACCTCCACTGTACAGGAGCCAGAGTCCCTCACTTTGATGTCGGAATGAGGAATGAGATTCTTAGGCAGGGCTTGAAGATCCCATATATCCAGAGATCGGACTATTCTAAACTAAGTCGACTAACATTCTCGTTTGTGCAGTATCTGTATGTCTGTGCATAACAAAGGAATCATATGGGTGAGACCGATGCATGCTGCTAAGGACAAATGTGTTAGCTTCTCGTTAAGCCATTGAAATTAATGTTTTTTTGAAATTTGAATTCCAATAAATCTCGCCAGTGGAACTTTTGCTGAAAGAAACCTTTATTCCTGTACTAAATGTTAACAGTATGATAAGCAATGAATAAGAGTCAATGCATCTTCCCTGGGCTGTTGGGGATATGTGTTGTGTGAACACTGACTGGATTTCAGTCAAACATGCTAAAAGCTAAAATTTAATTAATATATGAAATACATTAATTAAACGTTTTATATATAATATATATATATATGCCTGCTGTTCAATACTGAATGTAAAAAATTGTTTGGTATGTATGTATTTTCTTGTAAATACAAGTTCTCCAGGAGGAAATAAAACTGTACAAACTCTAATTACAAGTGTACAAACTCTTAATTACAGTAGAAGAGGAATCTGTTGTCAATAGGTTTCACGCAAAAATTAAGAGATATAATCTGGCAAATTACAATATTCAAGGATTTTTAGTAGCAGAGATACTGTTACACAATGGCCATTGTTTGCGGATAATGGATGCACATTTTAATATTTTTTTACAAATTGAAGCATTTGGATAAGCAGATGATCTGTTGCAATGTGAACCAGTAATCAATGACCACTCATATACTGTGCCACACAATAGTAGGACACCTCCTATTACTCGTTTATTGGTTATTAACATATTTTGGAGAGAGGGATTCAAGTTGCATATGGAAAGTGGTATCTGATATTTTCTGTTGTATTTTCTCTTCAATTCATAAAACAACCCTTTTTAAAAAAAAAATTGCAATCTATATCATCAGAAAATAATCTGCCTTTTTAAGAAACATTTCTAAAATGCTTCAGTGGTTGTGAGCTCCCTCTGCTGATTGAACCAAGGATAGGCACTGACTTGTAAAGTGTTGTACTATTTTAATGATTATAAGAGGGTTTTGGCCAGGACCCATGGACTCACAACGTTCTGACTTAGAGACGAGAGTGCTACCACTGCGCCTGGCTGATTTGTGATTGGCAACCTCAGCAAGCAGGATCTTCCTCCGCTTGCCTCTCTCCCAAATCCTCTTAAATTATTAAAAAATAAATTGATAGATCAGAAGTAGATACACTATTGACAAAGCTAGTTAACATATTAAGTAATTAGGTTACTTACAGTATATGTAATGTAAAATAATTCATTCCACAACGTGCAAATGAAATACCTGGTGACAATTATGTTATGAGGGTAAGCATTAAACCCATGATAAAATGGACCATTAAAATGACAGTGTTTTACATTTTATATATAAATACAAATGATATAACTAAAGTGTAATTTAGAGGTATGTTAAAATAGAACAAGCTATAAAATTGCTCCTATTATGCACAACTCATAAGATGGCAGCTTTCAGTCTTGCATAAATGTATTAACAGCTAATATGAAAGCTCTTGGATTAAAGAATGAAGTAAATCAGATAATAACTTGGCTAAATATTAGAAATGAAGACATTGATAATGGAAGAAGTTCTAACTAGACTACTATTGCAAACTGAATACAATAGGGATTTAGTGCCAGAGGCTTCCTATTTGCACCATAATCCCTCCAAAACAAAAACAATAATAAATTGTTCATTTTCAATCTACGACTGTTTGTGGGACATTGCTGTGCGCAATTGGCTGCCGCGTTCGCCCACAAATATACAGTCAATTCACTTTACAGTGTGTTCTGTGAAGCGCTTTGGGACGTCCTCCTGACGTGAAAAGCGCTATATCAAATGCAAGGATTATTATTATTATTATTACTATTTATTTTGCTGAGACGATTGCCTATGACTGCAAAACGAGATAAATTACAAATAAAAAGCAGCAAGAGTACTGGCACGCAAGAGATATAAATCAAAGAGATCTATCTGCAGTTATTTAGCAGTTAGACAGAAGACTGCAAACACTAATTCAGCTGCACTCATTCTGGATTCAGCAAAAAGTGGAGGAATATGAGATGAATGGTTAGCTGGGGCCCAAAATGATGGGAGTGAGTCTTTATTGCTGCATTCTTATGTTCTAAACAACAGCTCTGATTACAGGATTGATTATTTATTCAGTGCTGCCTATATTTGTTTAAGACAAAGTTTAGCTAGAATTATTACTGCTGGAAATAATTTCTTAAGTATAGTCTATTTCTTAAACAAGAAAGTAGAAATGTAAAGTAATATTCAGTTACTATAAAATATACGGGGATCATGGCACGTACGAATGTAGCAACAAATAAGAATAATCCTTGCTGATAATAATCCTTGCCAATAATCCGATAATAATCCTTGCGTTTGATATAATAATAATAATCCTTGCATTTGATATAGCGCTTTTCACATCGGGAGGACGTCCCAAAGCGCTTCACAGAACACACTGTAAAGTGAATTGACTGTATATTTGTGGGCGAACGCGGCAGCCAATTGCGCACAGCGATGTCCCACAAACAGTCGTAGATTGAAAATGACCAATTTATTATTGTTTTTGGTTTTGGAGGGATTATTAGGCTCTGTGTGGAGTAAGGAAACTTGCCCAAGGTTTCGCCCTCTGCCTGGAATTGAACTCAGGTCTCTCACTTGCAAAGCGAGTGCTCTAACCACTGAGCTACAGGACTCCACAAATCCCACGGATATAGTCCTTATCACATCTTCGAGACGAATATATTGTAAAGTGAATTGACTGTATATCTCGTGGGCGAAATGTCCGGGTAAACCCAAATATTAGCTATTCCCGTTTTATTGTATTAAAATGTCACCAGCATATATTCTAAACGCACAAACAGCAACGACTGTGCTATTAGGACGTACGATTAAGTTCAGGTAACGGATGGGGAAGATCCTACGATCGATCCCATACTTCAAGATGTATTCACGCTCAGCAGGAACCCAGGTGGTTCAGTCGAGTTGGCGGATCGTTTTCCCGGGGGATAATAATCCCTTCAAAAACAAAGAGAATAAATTGGCCGCCTCAAACCGCGGCTGTTTGTGGGGTCACTGCTGCCGCCGCCGCCGCCGCGGGCAACGGGCTGCCGGGTTTCACCCCCAAAAGACACAGTCACTACACTTCACAGTGCGTTCCGTCAGGCGCTTTGAGACATCGCGGAGACGCGATGAGGCGCTGTATTCAAAGGCGGGATTGTTGTTGTTGTGGTGTTGTTGTTGTTGTGTTGTGGTGGTGGTGTTGTTGTTATGTTGTGGTGTTGTTGTTGTTGTGGTGTTGTTATTGTTGTGTTGGTGTTGTTGTTGTGGTGTTGTTGTGGTGGTGTTGTGTTGTTGTTGTGGTGTTGTTGTTGTGGTGGTGTTGTGGTTGTGGTGTTGTTGTTCTTGTGGTGTTGTTGTGGTGGTGTTGTTGTTGTTGCTGTGGTGTTGTGGTGTTGTTGTTGTTGTTGCTGTGGTGTTGTTGTTGTGGTGTTGTGTTGTGCTGTTGTTGCGGTGTTGTTGTTGCGGTGTTGTTGCTGTGGTGTTGTTGTTGTGGTGTTGTTGCGGTGTTGTTGTTGTTGTGGTGTTGTTGTTGTGGTGGTGTTGGTGTTGTGGTGTTGTTGTTGTGGTGTCGTTGTTGTGCTGTTGTTGTTGTGGTGTTGTTGTGCTGTTGTTGTTGCGGTGTTGTTGCTGTGGTGTTGTTGTTGTTGTGGTGTTGTGCTGTTGTTGTGGTGGTGTTGTTGTGGTGTCGTTGTTGTTGTTGTGGTGTTGTTGCTGCGGTGGTGTTGTTGTTGTGGTGTTGTTGTGGTATCGTTGTTGTTGTTGCGGTGTTGTTGTTGTCGGTGTTCCAGCGGCAGCCGCTCCCCGAGCAAAGTCCGGGTCACGTGCTCCCCGCGGGCGGCTGGAGCCGCGGGACACGCACTTCCGGCGGAAGTCGGGGGTGGGTTTGTTTGCCGTCGGCCGGAAGCGGCTCCCGGCTCCTGTCTCGGGCCGTAATGTCGTCGCGAAGCCTGAGGAAGCTCCGGGGGGAGAAGGTGCAGGAGCCGCCGCCCGAGGACGGGGAGCAGCCGCTGGAACCGGCGCTGCCCCGGAAACAGAAGGGGAGAAAGAAACAGCAGATCGTCAGCAACTTGTACGAGCTGGTGAGTGTGAGAGAGACCCGGGGAGAGAGAGAGAGAGAGAGAGAGACCCGGGGAGAGAGAGAGAGAGAGACCCGGGGAGAGAGAGAGAGACCCGGGGAGAGAGAGAGAGAGACCCGGGGGAGAGAGAGAGACCCGGGGAGAGAGAGAGAGAGAGAGACCCGGGGAGAGAGAGAGAGATACCCGGAGAGAGAGAGAGAGAGAGACCCGGGGAGAGAGAGAGAGAGAGACCCGGGGAGAGAGAGAGAGAGAGACCCGGGGAGAGAGAGAGAAACCCGGGGAGAGAGAGAGAGAGAGACCCGGGGGGAGAGAGAGACCCTGGGAGAGAGAGAGAGAGACCCAGGGGGAGAGAGAGAGACCCGGGGGGAGAGAGAGAGACCCGGGGGGAGAGAGAGAGACCCGGGGAGAGAGAGAGAGAGAGACCCGGGGGGAGAGAGAGAGACCCGGGGGGAGAGAGAGAGAGAGAGACCTGGGGGGGGAGAGAGAGAGACCCGGGGAGAGAGAGAGAGAGAGAGAGAGAGACCCGGGGGGGGAGAGAGAGACCCGGGGAGAGAGAGAGAGAGACCCGGGGGAGAGAGAGAGACCCGGGGAGAGAGAGAGAGAGAGAGAGACCCGGGGAGAGAGAGAGAGATACCCGGAGAGAGAGAGAGAGAGAGACCCGGGGAGAGAGAGAGAGAGACCCGGGGAGAGAGAGGGAGACCCGGGGAGAGAGAGAGAGACCCGGGGAGAGAGAGAGAGAGACCCGGGGAGAGAGAGAGAGAGACCCGGGGAGAGAGAGAGAGACCCGGGGAGAGAGAGAGAGCGACCCGGGGAGAGAGAGAGAGAGCGACCCGGGGGGTGAGAGAGAGCGACCCGGGGGGTGAGAGAGAGCGACCCGGGGGGTGAGAGAGAGCGACCCGGGGGGTGAGAGAGAGACCCGGGGGGTGAGAGAGAGACCCGGGGGGGTGAGAGAGAGACCCGGGTGGGGGGGGGGAGAGAGAGAGACCCGGGGTGAGAGAGAGAGAGACCCGGGGGGAGAGAGAGAGAGAGACCCGGGGAGAGAGAGAGAGAGAGACTTGGGGGAGACTTGGGAGAGGGGGAGACTTGGGGGAGGGGGGAAGACAGGGGAGAGAGGGAGACTTTAGGTAGAGAGACTTGGGGAGAGAGGGAGATTTGGGGGGAGACTTGGGGGCGAGAGGGAGACTTGGGGGAGAGACAGAGATGGGTATATACAGAGTGAGATGGGGAAGGAGAGAGAGACTTGGGGAGAAGGAGTGAGTGATATTGAGTGGGGTGGGGGGAGAAGAAGAAGAAGAAGAGAGGGACTGCGGTAAAGAAGGGAGAGATGGGGAGACGGGCGGGAGTGGAAGCAGGGCAGAGAGCGACGGGGAGAGAGATTTAGAGACAGGTACGGGGAAAGAGAAAGACGGGGCGGGGAGCGAGAGGGAAATTAATCCTGAATCTGATAATGTATGGTGTCTGTACAGCCTTAAGAAACATGCAGCAGATTTTTAAAAAAGTAAGGCCCTGTTGTGTGGCACTCTCTCTCGCCGTCACTTCATTTCCAAGTCTTTATTTTCTATTTGTGTAGATACATGAAGCAGATGCTGAGAACAACCTCGCCAACAAATTGCACGATACCGAAGATGAGAATGATGTTAAATTAAGGCTGAAAGACTCCGAGACAGGAGAGAAGGAGGAGAAAGATGATCAGACGGAATCTGCAGAGAAGTTTGAAAATGAAGAAAATGAAGAGTTGGAAAAAGAGCCTGATGTCCTTCAGGTAAATTATTTAACATTTGCCTTGTGCTCCTGGCCATACAAAATGCACCATCGACACTTTACAAGGATCACAAGGATGATCCCAGAACTGAGAGATTATCCCTATCAGTAAAGGCTGAACATACTTGGACTCTTTTCTCTTGAAAAGAGGACGGTAAGGGGTGATTTAAAATTTTAGGTCGTTAAAATGATGAAAGGTTTCGATAGGGTAGACAAAGGGAAAATGCAAGACCAGAGCAGTAATTCCTCCATTGCATTTGACTGATAATTGACGCTGAACAAACTGTAACCTATATTCATATGGAAGGAAGGCACAGATTCGGTATGATTGAGCACCTTTCAAGAGATTCTCCTTTGCTTCCTAGACTGGTTCAACTAAGAAATGCAAACGAAAAAAGAAGAAGAAAAACAAGAAGACTGTGGCTGCTGATGCTCAGGTAATGCTGTGAATACTCATCACCCACTACAGGATTCTTCTGTAATTAAACCTGATTCTCCCGTTTATTGGCAATGGAACATAAGAATTTGCTAGGCAAAAGAAGACCAAGGTCCATCTAGTTCACCTTCCACCATCCAAGCAGTCGCTTGACATGTCGTGTCCCAAACTATACACTGTATCCTGAGTGTGCAATCAATGGAAATGCATAGAAATGTGTAAAGGTAACTTGGAAGAATGCTGCTTTTTGTGTGTGATAATATACTTGAATAGCTTAAAAAATGTGTATTTCAGTGGTGAGAAAAAACATAGTCTGCCAAACTCTACACTCGATTGCTGAGATACATGATAACTTTGTTTGATTTTTCACGGCAACCATTGTTCACGTGTTCTTGCTGTCTTTCACCCTTTTCTAAACGTTGCAAGTCAAAAAACCCTGACGATCCAGCACCCTGGGACGTCTTTCCAATGTGAAGGGCACTATGCAGGTCTAATTTATTGTTGTTTTGCTCAGCAGTATGTGGTGCTGTCATTCTATTATAAAATTAATCTACAATGTTTCTATGAAATAGTTATTGCATTTACTAAGATAGGAAGCAAGAGCTTTCATCAGTGGGGTTACTAATACATATTAGGGAGGAAATTAGAAAAACTTCCAGCCTATACATTCAAAAATCATATTGCCTTTAAAATACACATTAAACTGCCTGCAGTCATCCATTAAACAGTATTAACATGTGAAGTCTGCAGTTTCCTGTAAAGTAATGAAAAGGGTTATCCTTTGTGCAGGAGGGTTCTGCTGATGACATTGACAGCATATTGCAAGAGATTGATGAGACCAATGGTTACTGTTACCAAACAGAAATGGTCACCTACGAAACAAAACCGCTGCTGTATGTTGAACACAGGTAAGAAATGAACTCAAGGTTTGTTTGCACGTATCACACCTGAGTGGTAATCAGGGCCAGTAGAAAATTGTGGAAATATTTGCCAAAAATTGCAGGGAAATTTGACACATTTTGTGTGAAATTGTTGTTTTTGCGGATTTCGTGAAAAAACTGTGGGGCCAATTTTAAATTGGCTCAGGTCATAACCTCACTTCATCAATCTAAACTATAATCGTTATAATGTTCTTGAAAGAATAAACCTAGTCATGGCACTCTTGGGATTCCTTATATATTAGTGTCACCGAGCTTTCAGTGTTTTGGGAGTGTCATTTGAAATTTCAACTATTGTACTGGCAGAAAATGCCAGTGTGTTGTTTAAAACTTATCAATTCTGCAAAAATTTTTTCCTACAGGAATCTGAATCCAGAGAATGAACTAAAGAGATATTTTGGCGCCAGAGCAGTTCTTGGCGATCAAAGGTCAGATAATGTGATCTAGAGATGTTTATCAGCCTGTTTACAACGTGGTATTTCGTGGGATGATTAGGCTTTCATCTTGCTTTTTTTTCCTGTTCATTGAGATAGATAGATTTCTTATTGCAAAAGGGATTAAGGGATATGGGGATAAGGCAGGGTTAGGTTATTAGCTGGAGTTAGATTAGAAGATCAGCCGTGATTGAATGGCGGGGCAGACTCGAAGGGCTGAATGGCCTACTCCCTCTCCTACAAAAAAAATTGGTTCCGTATGTTTTTTTTGCTAAACATTTGAGCTTTGAGTTATGCTTATATTGTCCAGTGTTTAATCATGCGTCCCTTGTGCTAAGTTAGCTGATCTCAGATAGACTTGCAGTGGAACTCTTCAATTAGCTTGGGTTCTGTTTGTTTGTTTATCAAGTGACTCCTGTGATGTGCACCTCTGGAGGCCAGATGTGTGGTAGCATTCCCTTTCAGAGTCTCATAGTGTGTCAAGTGCCTACTTTGGCGATGCACCGATTTAGTACCACTGGTATGAGTCAGTTGAGGTTTCAGGAGAGGGAGAAATCTTTCTTTAATGAAAATGCTTGCTGTTCAATATCAGGCTGTAAATAGTGTACTTCTTAATTTTCCATTTGAAATCTTTGAACCAGGTCAAAGCAGCGACATCGCCCATTACACCGGAGTATGTGGCTGACAGCAGCAAAAGATACATGGCCACGATATGCAAAAATAGGTAAATATAGCTGAACCAAAGAAAAGATTTCTAAAAATAAATCCTTACATTTGGTGTAGTACCAATTTGGGAGGATGTCCCAAATCGTTCCAAGGATAATATACTGTAAAGTTCAGTAACGGTTTGTGTGGAATTTTTTTTCTCTCTCTGTAGTACATGGTCCTCAGAATTACCCGTGTGTTGTTGGTGTTAAGTTCTAGAGTGATTTACCAATTCAATTTTCTTTGCCAATGGTAGGAATTTCTATGCAGCTGCTTGAGACAAAGGGAGGGATCCAATACTTCACTTTTGAACACAACCGAGATTATCAACAAGCTCAATTCAAGTTCCTGGATGCAGTGGATTCAATGGACCCGAACAACATTTTGGTATGTCATTAATGGATTGTGCCAGATGTCAATCAAATTGCTTGGTATTTGTAAGGGTGAAAAACTGTTGTAGCCATCATCTAAACTTACTTTTAAAAGACACAATTGTCATCTATCAAATATTTTATTCGTCACCAATACAAATTGAAGAATTCTTCACAAGGACTTAGTACCACATTTAAAAAAGATCTTTGTGCTTTGTTGTTTCACAAAGGTTTTAGGTGACAATAAAAATACAATCTTATATATATAATTATATTATATATGGCTGTACTCTTAAACTAAGACAGAACTGATTATATAGGATTCGAATAAGTCTTGTTGAAATGTTATTAATGTAGAATTATTGCAGTGAAACTGTTTTCTGGAATAAAGTTTAGAAAAATTAAAGCAGCTCTAAAAATTGTATTTCCTGACAGAAGAACAATTTCCTTCTATTGAAATCAGGAAACAGATGCCTAATTAACCTAAATAAATTAACCTGATGTTAATTTATTTAGTTTAATTGTGGAGTCCTGTAGCTCAGTGGTTAGAGCACTCGCTTTGCAAGTGAGAGACCTGAGTACAGTTCCAGGCAGGTCAGGGCGAAACCTTGGGCACATTTCCTTACTCCACACGCCTAATAATAATCCTTCCAAAACCAAAAACAATAATAAATTGGTCATTTTCAATCTACGACTGTTTGTGGGACATTGCTGTGCGCAATTGGCTGCCGCGTTCGCCCACAAATATACAGTCAATTCACTTTACAATGTGTTCTGTGAAGCGCTTTGGGACGACCTCCCGACGTGAAAAGCGCTATATCAAATGCAAGGATTATTATTATTATTATTATTAATTGGGCATCTGTTTCCTGATTTCATCGAAATGATAAATCCAGGTCTTGTAGATATCTGAGGCCTGTCTAACCCTCATGGTATATACTTGAGCACAGCTCGTTTATAAAAGATAAGGACAGAGCTAATCATCAGTGAAGCTATCTATCAGTACCAGCTCTTACTCCACTGCCCACACAAGCTAAGTTACCCATTGAATTACATGAGAAAGAGCTATTTCAGTGATAGTAGCACATGATGAAGTCCTGGAAGTTCACAACAGAACATAAGGGAAATGATTGGTGGCAGTTGGTTCCAGATTGAATCGTTACTTTTCGCACTGAAATTGGTTAGTGGGTGAATGATGTTGCCGTGTAAATCATCCACCAGCAATAATTAGTTGAGCATGGTGACATATGCTGACGTGTTAGTTGTTTCAGCAGAGTCTGATCAAGCTTTCTTTCTTGGCTCCCAGGCTTTGCTGCGCGTGAACCCGTACCACATTGACTCACTTTTACAGATCAGTGATGTCTGTCGGATGCAGGAGGATCAGGAAGTGGCACGTGACCTAATTGGTAAGAAGTAGATTTTTACATAAGATTTAAAAAATCCTGGCCTTTAGATCAACTGTAGAGAATCCCAGTTTCTTGACCATTCTGTCAGGAAGTGTAGGACATCCTCACCTATTTATTTTCCCTCTTGCCCCAAAGTTGATCTGGTTGAATTTCTCGCATGTAATTAAACTGCGATTTGACCAGGACTGCTTGTTTGAAGTCCCAATCTGTACACCAGCCTTTTATCTACGTGAAGTCACATGGTGTGCTGAAACTGTTTAAATAACCTTGTACTCCTGTTTTAGCATGACTGGAGTGTGTAAGAATTTGGCATCAGTCATTTGTACTTTGTGTTCCTATGGTTTGACCTCACTACAAATGTACATTAACCTTTAATACTTGGCTTCTCTAGTTTCTGAGCCCTGCAAAGTGCAAGTGTTAATATCAAAGCTATTGACCATCCTTGTTCTATTAATATTAACTTGCCAAGTTGCTGTAGATCAATAAACTTGTGCATTTGTACATTGTGTGGGATGATTGATAATTGGTTTCAATATGGTTGCTAAATGACACGGATTTGTATCTGTTTCTGACTGGTACTAACCAAACCAGCTCAGAATACGGAACATATTCAGTGGTAGTGATAAAGGTAAATTATGGTATTATTTGATGAATAATCCTAATGTGCAGCTCCAGACTCGGTGTTGAGTATTGCCTAGACCCTTCCTGTATTTCTATCAGTATTTTATTCTCTCTCACTTTCCTCCATATAGAAAAGGCATTATACTGCTTTGAATCTTCATTTCACCCAGTATTTAGCCTGACCAGTGGACAGAGCCGTCTGGATTATCGCAGAGCTGAAAACCGGTTTGTACTTGTGCTTCACTTGTTCTCTGTTAGATTTGACCTTTATGTAGAAAGTACCCTGAATTTTCGAAGTTATTTCTTTGAGCTCGTTTGTGGTGGCAGCAGAGAAATCTTAACTTTTAGAATGCAAAAATAACTTCATCTGTTAATCCATCTTTAATCCCATTCCTGTTTGATTACTAATGCGATTCGATGTACTGCTTAACATACATTTTTTGAAGAGAAATCGCTGACGTGTATAAAAGTATCAACTCAGCACTGCCACTGGCAGCGACAGGAGAGATTTCCAATTACAAAATTCTCCTGACACTGCCACTGTTAGGGCTACCAGTACAGTCCAATTAAACAGGGATGTTGGTGTTCGGTTCACTTCAACTTCCTTCATCTGATATAATTGCTTTTGCTATTTTTATATAGATCATTCTTTCTTGCACTATACAAGCACATGACGTTTCTAGAGAGAAGAGGTTGTCCACGCACCGCATTGGAATTTTGTAAACTTATTCGCTGGTAAGAACTAAGTATAATACTTACTGTCTTATTATTGGTAACACAATAAACTTGTTTTGGTTAAATGAACATTGAAAAATAGTCCCAAAACATGTATAGCAGGTGTCAGCCTGGTTCAGTAGTACTTTCACCTCTGAATCAGAAGGTTGTGGATTTAGCACTCCAATGCATCGTTGGGGGTGGGGGGGGCATTGCATTGTTGGAGAAGCTGTCTTTTCGATGAGTCGCTAACGTAAGGCCCTGTCTGCCTCTTCAGATGGTCATTAAAGATCCCCTGGCACTGTTTGAAGAGAGAAGGGAGTTTTTCTCTCCCGGTGTTCTGGCTAACAATCCGCCAAATAAAGTTGGTTACTCAATTGATGGCTGTTTGTGGGACATTATTGGGCGTCGTTTTTTGTTTATCCGTAAAAATGACAGTGAAGTCCCATGAAGCACTTTGAGATGGCTTGCCAATGTAAGGAGCCACAATGTCGAATGCAAGGATTATTATTAATATTATTATGATAACCATATGCTGGTGGGAGAAAAATGTCTTTAAAATCTCATGACCATGTTTAATAACGTAAAGGGAGCTTAGTACTCAAATGGTTAAAACACCTGTTTTCAATTTAGATTAGATCTTAAATGTTTGTATTTCAAATCTGACAAGATGGTACTTTCTCCCTTTGATGTACTTTAGTGTATTACAGTTGGTCTAATATTGCGAAGCAGTGTAATTGACTGTGGTCTCATTGTTACACTTTCTAAAGGAAAGGTGATTTCAAAATCAGTTGCTGTTTAACAGGAAATGTATTAAATGTAGATTTGTACAGATTGGGAATGTGCAGTGTAACATAGTTTAAAAGGGGCTCAATCTAACTTCGCTTTCTGTCCATCTCCATAGCCTGGATCCTGAAAGAGATCCACTGTGTGCTCTGTTGATGATTGACTTCCTGTCATTGCGAGCACGAGAATATGCTTTCTTGATACGACTGTATGAGGAATGGGAGGTGAGAACATTTTAACGAGTGCAGGCTGCCCAGTGTGATGTATACTTGCAAATTACCATAATAACCTATAGATTAAACCTCTGCCTCCTGTGTCAGTTAGCTCTGAACATGCTGCTTCTTATAATGTACTTTCTGTGTAGCTTTCCAATTAATAAGCCTCTACACTGATAAATGGGAGCATGTTTTGTGACATTTGATACTTTTCTGCAATCGCTTGAAACTTAGTGCGCAACTTATGAGAAGAGAGTCGAGTTCTTTGTGAGCCTTGTGAGTGTTGGCAAATTATTGTATCATGGTGGAATATACCCTGATCATGTCCTCACCTGACAGCAAGAATAACTTTCTTGTCTGATAGGGAAGAAGCTTCAGAAACCCTTAACAGGTTCTATTTTCTAGGTCAGTGGCCCTGCGGCCTTTACTGCTGCACTGGCTAACATAAACTAGTAGAAACATAGGAACAGGAGTAGGCCATTCAACCTTTCAAGCCTGTTCCGCCATTCAATTAGATCATGGCTGATCTGTAACTCAACTAATCCTGTCAATTATAATTCCCTGCTTTTTCCCTATATCCCTTGATACCCTGACCTACCAAAAATCTATCAACCTCACTCTTGAAGGTGTGGATGGATTTCATAAGGTAAAGGGAGCTTAGTATCTAAAAGCTAGTGACTAACATTTATTTCTCTCAACATGTACATGTTAATATTTATTTTTGCTGGATAGATTCTGTAAGCATTTGGTATGGGAGAAATTTCACCTGGTCTAGAATTTGGCCACTTGTTGAATTCAGTCTTAACTTTGAAGTTTACGGTTTTCTGTACTTAACCTTCTGGAAAACCAGCTTATAGATTAAGGCTGTGTTTAAGAAATTGCCAAATTTTAGATGCTCTGAATGCTGCACAGAGTAAATCTATACCCGGGTGGTATTCCTTCCCAAAGGCTACTATTAGCAAAAAAAATCAAACGTTAAGTTCTTGTTTGCAGAGGGATGTTTCAAGTTCATGTCTTAAGTTCCTTTCTGTTGTCTCTAGTTTCATTTGAATCTCTCTCAACTCCCAAACTTTGCGTTCTCTGTTCCGTTGGCTTGTTACCACCTGAGCCAACAAGAAGATTTGCCAGACTCTGAACGCGCTCGAATGGAAGAACAAGGAAAACGTCTGATACAGACCGCCTTTATAATGTTTCCCAGTGGTAAGTCATTATTGACTTCAGCTTAGAATTTCAGTAACTGAATATCGAACAATTACCATTCTGACCTCTTCGAAGTACGTTCATTGGCAGTTTGGGGTTTCTGTAATCACTTGAATCTAAATTGTCCTATTCATAAGATAAGAGCTAAGTAACTGTTGTATGAATAACTGATTAAAATTGTTTTATTTTAGAACATAATGTCTTCTCAAAATACCTTATATATTAAAGATTCTCCTCGTTTGTGTTCATTTCCAGTGCTGATGCCATTACTGGATCAGTGTGGTGTGCAACCAGACCAAGCTGTATCATCTCACAGATACTTTGGACTTGAAGTCCAGATAAGGTTGGTGTCAGGATCAAACTGTGATTGTGTCAACACAATTTTGGCTGCTATCAATTAGTTAAAGATTATCATCACTTACTGGCCAATTACACCACGTGAGCAAATAGTTCGCATTGGTGGACTATGGAATTTATTCGACACACGTGAAACAGTCTGACAGAAATAACTTTCAGACAGCAATTGGTAAAGGAATGTTGGGTATGTGCTTGCTGTCAGCACAAGCTATCTGGTACCAGAAGCAAAGTGAAAACCTGCTTTTCTGCTTCATTTCCAGTAATCTTCATTTCCTACAATTTTTCTCACAGGCAACCAGGTGCACTGAGGCAGTTAGTCGCACTGTTTCTTGGAAGAAACTGGCCACTCTGGAAAGACCCAGGAGTCATGGCTTGGCTCGAGGACAATGTGAAAGAGGTCTTAAGACGAGTAGATGCGAATGACCCACTTGTCGAGGAATCTGAGAATAAGTAAGTGTTTAAAGAAATTTTAAGTTATTCTCATTTTATAACAAGGTGATTATAACTGATTGAATGCTAAATGTACTTTTGTTTCTTATGTATTTTTCATTGCAGGCGAAAAATTAGATACCAGAATGTCCCCAGGAACATCCATCGCCACATTATTCTTTCTGAGATAAAAGAAGCTATTGCAGCCTTGCCACCGGTGAGCTATAGTAGACATATTCTGTACAGCCTCTGAAATGTAGCTTTGGGTTATCTATTCAGTCCATTTATAGGAGGGTCTGTTTCCCCCTCTTCCTTCGTCCACCTTTGTGCTGTTTGATTTCTGCTCAATTGAGTAAAGTAATTACAATTCAGACGTAGATTTTTTTNAAAGTAATTGTCATAATTGTTCCTGGGTAGGCCTGGAAGCAGCAAAGACAGTTTAAGTCCCTTTGCTTGAAAACTATTCCTTGGTATATGTTTCTGGATATCAAAACTATACCAATGGTGTGTTGAAGGGTACCTTTGTTCTATGAATGAGCATGATTATACCTTTCAGAACTGTATTTATCTAAGCTGGTGTTTCCCATTCTTTTTTTCAGGAGGTGACAACCCAGCCAGTGATGGGTTATGATCCACTTCCTCCACTGGATGGCATTATCACATACACTAGACCTGAAAGGTATTCATTTTCAAGAAAGGAATTTTAATTGTTTGGACTAAACCAAATTTTTAAAAATGTTGTGGTACAATTAACTTAAGTATGAGTAGAAATTGTTTCAATAGTTTACCTTCTTAATGGATTTTTTTGTGTGAACGTTTGGTTCTCTTTACATTTATTAACATAACATGTAGGAGCAGGAGTAGGCCATTCGGCCCTTCGAGCCTGCCCCGCCATTCAATCATGGCTGATCTTCTAATCTAACTCCAGCTAATACCATAACCCTGCCTTATCCCCATATCCCTTAATCCCTTTTGCAATAAGAAATCTATCTATCTCAGTCTTGAATATGTTCAAGGACTGAGCGTCAACAGCCCTTTGGGGTAGCGAGTTCCTTTGAGTGAAGAAGTTCTTCCTCAACTCAGTGCAAAAGGACTGACCTCTGATTTTAAGGTTGTGGTCCCTGGTTTTAGTTTCTCCAACCAGGGAAACAATCTCCCACTATCTACTCTATCATGCCCTTTGATGATCTTATAGGTTTCTATAAGATCCCCTCTAATTCTTCTAGATTCTAGAGAATATAGGCCCAAATTGGTCAGCCTATCCTCGTAACTCATCCCCTTCATCGCTGGTACTAGCCTCCAAGGCAAGTACATCCTTCCTTAAATAAGGTGACCAAAACTGCACACAGTATTCCAGGTGTGGTCTCACCAGGGCCCTATATAGTTGCAGCAAGACTTCCCTACTCTTATACTCTAATCCTTTTATAATGAATGCTAACATACTGTTCTCTTTCCTAATTGCTTGTTGCACCTGCAGACCAACTTTCTGTGATTGGTGTACAAGGACACCCAAGTCCCTCTCTTCCCTTCTAAAAAATAACTCGCTCTACTGTTTTTGCTACCTAGGTGGATGACTTTGCACTTCCCTACATTATATTTCATCTGCCACCTACTGCCCAATCACCTAACCTATCTATGTCACGCTGCATTTTTTTAATGTCATTCTTTGTGTTGACACTTCCTCCTAGTTTTGTGTCATGCGTGAATTTAGATATATTAACCTTGATGTGCTCATCTAGATTGTTGATGTAGATGGTAAATAGCTGAGGCCCAAGGACTGATCCTTGTGGCACTCCCCTAGTCACATCCCGCCAATCTGAAAAGGATCCGTTTATCCCTACTCTTTGTTTCCTACCCGTTAACCATTCCCCAATCCACGTTAATATGCTTCCCCCAATTCCATGGGCCCTTATCTTTTGGACTAACCTTTTATGCGGCACTTTATCGAATGCCTTCTGGAAGTCCAAATTGACCACATCCACTGATTCACCCTTATCTAGTTTACTTGAAATATCCTCAAAAACTTCTATGTGTTTTGTCAAACATGACTTCCCTTTTGTAAAGCCATGTTGACTTGGCCTAATTATATTGTACTCCTCTAAATACCGCACTACCACATCCTTAATCAATGATTGTGAAATTTTTTCTATCACTGATGTTAGACTAACTGGCCTATAGTTCCCCATCTTTTCCTTTCCACCTTTTTTAAATAGTGGTGTGACATTTGCGATCTTCCAATCCATGGGGACTGTTCCAGAATCCAAGGAATTTTGGAAGATCAAACACAAGTCCTCCACTATCTCATAAGTTACCTCTTTTAAAACCCTGGGATACAAGCCATCCGGGCCAGGGGATTTGTCACTTTTTAGTGCTAACAGTTTCCCTAGCACCAATTCACTCCTAATGAAAATTTCCTTAAGTTGCTCCCTGTTCTTATCCCTTTAGTGCATCTCTATTGTTGGCAGACTTGGTGTGTCTTCTAGGGTGAAGACAGATGCAAAGTACCCAGTTAGAGACTCTGCCATGCCCTTATCCCCCATTACAACTTCTCCCGTCTCTTACTGAAGTGGACCTATATTTACCCTCACTAGCCTATTCCTTTGAATGTATTTGTAAAAACTTTACAAATTAAAAAAGAATCTTGCTTTTATTTACTTTATTTATGTACATTATTTTACTCATTTTCATCTATGATCCAAATGCTTGTGGTTTTCTTTTCAGGACAAATCAAGCGCCTGACGGGAGCACTTTATCACTGTTCTTTCGATCTTTGCTGCCCAATTTTAATCTCCAGGTATGTGATAATGAGAAGGGAAGAGTTTTTTAAAACCTTTGAATGGTAATTTTTATTTTTGCCCAGAAATTCTCATGATTAAACAGATAAACATAACAGTCATTTTGTACAGCTTTAATGTATTTTGTTAGAGCAGAATTTAAACTCTCTGTTAATCTACTAATCGAGTTTGAGATCATTGATGTTGACATACAACACAAAGAGGCCAAGTGTTCTGTTCTCCAGCACACTCAACAACAAAATTACATTTATAGAGCTCCCTTCACATCGGAAGGATGTTACAAAGCACTCATTTCTCTTAACCGTCAGTGAGTTTTTGTATACAGATACTGAACCAATGAGAGTTCTGTTTTTAGTCATTTTCAGTGTCTTTTGTTGCAACTGGATGTGCGGTGCAAAAGCTTTTGTAAGCTATTTGGGAAAGTGAATGTTTTACTAGACTACCAACTAGCATTCTTGGATTGTATTGGATGATGTATTTGCAACCAAGATTCCATTTATTGAGCGCCTTTCACGTCGGGAGGACGTCCCAAGGCGCTGTACAGTTGGGTCGGGACCCGAGCATTGGGGGGAAATGGTCAGGGTGAGGGGAGGGAAGGGAGGGAGCGAGGAGGGGGTAGAGAGTCGAGAGGGGAGCTGAAGGCACGGTCAAAGAGAAAGGTCTTGAGACCGGCCTTGAAGGAGGAAAGGGAGGAAGCGGCGAAGGCACTGGGGGATAGAGTTCCAGAGCCTCGGGGCTGAGAGGCTGAAGGCCCGGCCACCGATAGTAGGGCAGTTGGGGCGGGGGATGTGGAGCAGACCGGAGCCAGAGGAACGGAGGGTACGGGCAGGTAGGTAGGGGGATAGTAGGTTGGAGAGGTAGGAGGGAGCGAGGCCGTGAATGGCCTTGTAGGTGAGGGTGAGGATCTTGAATTCGATCCTCTGGGGGATGGGGAGCCAGTGGAGGCGAGCGAGGGTGGGAGTGATGTGGTCGCGGTGTCTGGTGCGGGACAGTACACGAGCTGCAGAGTTCTGAATGACCTGCAGTGTGGAGGGAGGTGCCGGGAAAGCCGGCGAGGAGGGAGTTCCCATAGTCCAGCCTTGAGGTGATAAAGGCGTGGACCAGAGTTTCAGTAGCGTGAGGAGTGAGGTAGTGCCGTAGTCTGGCGATATTCCGGAGGTGATGGAAGGCGGTGCCAGTTGTGGCGCGGATATGGGGGAGAAAGGACAGCTCAGGGTCGAACAGAACCCCGAGGTTCCTGACCGGCTTTGAGAGGTGGAGAATGCAGCCTTGGATTTGCAGCAAGCAAATAGAAACTGGAACTTTAAAATGTTGACTCTTTTATTGCTTTGAAACAAAACCTTCCAAACCAGCATTGAAATTGAGTTTCTCAATGCCAGAAATTATTATAAATATAACTAGCATATACACCCACAAAAATACAGTCACACCACTTTACAGTAAATCATGTGAAGCACTTTGAAACATCTCAATAACATGATAAGGCACTACATAAAATGCAAGATTATTATTGTTAACAACTTTCTAGTTTTTTTTAAAAAAAGGTCACTCATTTTGGGCTTTGAAACTCCACAAAGTACCATTTAAGGTCCCGGTGAGGTAACTTTGTTCTTGATTACTTGCTTTTTCTTCCCATGTCTCAGGAAAAATCAAACATTTCTAATGGAGTTGATTCATTTTGCAGGAGGACAGGAGACAGCAAATGGAAGGTGAGGGTGCAGAGGTCCAACATGAGTTGAACCAGGGAGTAAATAGGCTCATGGCTGCTATGAGAGATATGTTAGCAAACATTCGCTTCCAGGAGCCACCGCAAGAGGAATACCAAGAGGGTGATGGAGAATGGGATTGATTACTTACCACCGCAACATTTCTGTGACCTTCAATTTATAACTGGTGCATTCTATCACTGTGTTTAAAGCAAACTGCATCACAGTGATATAAACCCACTTATTAAACCTGTGTCACTATATTGCATTTAGTTCCATGATTATTAATGAGTGTTTCAGTGCTTTAGACACACTTGAGCTCCGACGGTGAAATGAAGAAAGAAGCACTTTGTATGTAGGTTTCTAATCTTTAAATTGCTCATGTTTTTAAAGAGACGCTCAACACATAGAAAAACAATGGATCACCCCAAAGACTAAATGGCAAGAGAAGCTACTGTCTTGTATTTATTGCGGTTTTAATTTAAACTCATAAAATAACATGGATTAGAATATAATACATGCAAGAAAGCGCTCATTACTGTAAACAAGCAGCTCAGTAGTGTGGTAGTCATGTGCTTGTCTTAAGCCAATATGTCTGATTCTCCCTCACAGTTGATAACAACAGCTTGGAAAAGGAATTGACTGCAGTGTAACCTGCTTGTATTTTCAATTTAGATATGCGCTTGTTTCTGATGACATCTAGAGTAATATAGGCACTATTGCTATAGAGGAGTGCAGAGCTGCTGATCGGCTGTTGTAAGTTTCAAGACAGTATATGACAAAGTCTAGGAATGAGAGTGAAAAACTAGTGATAAACACTACACAAAAATTAAATCCATTGGTACAAGGTTGGTGGAAAAAAGAGGAAATCTGATAACCAGGTTCTAGGCCCTTCTGGCCACCAATAGATACAGAACAGTAATTAAAACCTACACTGTTCATAATGTTACCCTTTACGATCAAGATTTTATCTTCATATCTTGTTTCTCGTATCTAGTCTTCCTGCAGCTACTATACAAAGTTGCATTATAATAATCCTGCTTCCCCCATCCACTCCTCCATTCTTCTCTCCTTATCTCACTCTTGAAGTGCTGTTTATTGGGGTGCAGTTCCAAGCATGGCAACTGGCCTCCAGCACAGGCCAATGGCCATTTCTTTGTGTGTTCAGGCAGTGACTTCTTATTTGACGGGAAGCAGCCAAACCAAATCATCGCTTCACTCTCTTATCTTATATTTTACAGGTACATTTCAGGGTAGGTTAGGTGCCAGACAACACAGTGGTCTTGAGCCTTTTCACCCCTTTTCCCCAGGTGACCCACGCTATGTTCCAGCGTAGAATTGACCAGTAATTCAACCTTGGATGTGTCTCAGCCCACACCACGCAGAACATTTAATTATTGCTTCTTTCTGTGATCTTAGTGTGAACAAGAGATTAGGGAAAACACATATTTGGATTTGCTCACTTGTGTTTCTTGTATTGCTTTGATATGTTATCCTCCAAAGTAGGTAATTTTAATAAATTCTCAGATTCATTTTTATTTGAATTGATGATAAGCTAACCAAGGCATGGGCGCACACAATTTGGATTTGTCATTATTGAATTTCAAGACTGAGCAACTTAAATTGTATTGGGATTGTACATACAGTATTTTCTGTGTCATTGTCCTTGTTTTCTTTGGCCCTTATATTGCCTGCTGGTAAATTAAATGTGTAAATCGTGTGAATGTATTTTCAGTGCAGCCTGTGTTCCTGGAATCTTTTCAATTTGTCACAACGCCTATTTTCTTTTTTTTAAACAGGGGTGTAATTGGAAAGTTAACATTTTAAACAGAATGGCTTTAAGAATCCACATGTTAGCTTTCCTATGTGTTGTTGAAATATTCTCATTACTATTTTTTTGGATAGCCACTGACCTTAAATAAGACAGCCATTCTCAGGAAAAGAATTTGCAAGACAGTAGTTAGCAACATTTTTCCAAACTTTGTCTTCCGGTATGTTATAAATTTTAACATTCACGTAGATCACATGCACATTACTGTCCCATCTTTACTGAATTTCCAGAAGATCCGTTTAATATCAAAGCAAGTAATTAATTGGCTTGCTAATATGCTTTCGGCTAACTGAAGTGACATATATAAATAGAGCATATTGCTTGTCTTGCAGTATTACCTGCAGATGGGTTCCCATAGTTTGGATAGGTTCTCTGCATATTCAGAATATATTCTGGGAAATTAGAAGTAAATAGAGATTACAGTCAAATTCTATCAAGGCTATTGCAAAAACAAACTTCCAAGATTTCGAAATAGTAAAAAAAATTGTTTGAAATGTTCTTTTGAAATGAGCCTGATTCAAAGACTCCACTGTAGTCTTACGCATCAACTCTGATTATTCCTACTCTGGCTAATACCCGATCGAGGTATAACAAAAGGAATATAACCTTATTTATTTGCTAATTGTTTTATCGATTTGTGCTACTTGCCGATTTTCAAAAAAAAAAACATTTTCCTTTTTGTGTGGCAAACTGGTTAAGCTTATAGGCTGCAATCCCAAAGTGTGTAATTCAGTTTGATGGATTAGGATTCTCTTCCCTCAGTCGGGCATTGTAGATGGGCACACATTTAATATAGCATTTGCAAACGTAGGAGGAATGTTACAAGGACTGAGTTTAGAATATGATATAACCTTCCAAATATGCTGCTGTAGTGAAATTGAACGTTGCACACAATTTGTAGAGGCTTCCTTCCCAGAGAAATGTGTGCATGACTGATCGCAGCAGCACTCGGTACTGCAGAGTTGTGGACTTTCATTTTAATGAATGTCAAAAGACACCTTAACTGTAATCTTGATTTACAATTTTGCACGTGTGGATGATTCCATGATTCACGATGCAATAAAAGTGAGAAAGGAAATCCTGTTGCATAGGTATACGATATAGAAATTAGCATTTGAATTGACAGTCTGGGAGGGGGGTGGGGGGTCACGACAACAACAACAACAACAACAAGATTCCATTTATAAAGCGCCTTTCACGTCAGGAGGACGTCCCAAGGCGCTGTACAGTTGGGTCATGAGTGAGCAGATGGAGAGGTGCAATGTGCAGATGGAGAAGCAATTCCAGTTTGCTCTGAGGCTGTGACCCAGAATTGGACACCGGATTTATGGGGTGAACCGACTTGTCTTGGCTTTCGGGTAACATTCTTTGGAAGATTAAAAAAAAAGGAGTGTTGAAATGACCTCATTCCGAATCGTACTCTGTGTGTATATATATATTCATAAAAGTGAGTGGATATAATGGTGACGTGTTACTGAATCTATCGGGGAGGGGGGAGAGGGGGGGGTCCTGCAGCTGAATGACTCAGTATCTGCAGTGGTGTCTGGACTGTGATGCGGGTCCCCGACTGCTTGACCTGAAGAGTCACATCTGAAATGTGAATCATGGTTTTTCTCCCTCAGACACTGTCTGACTCTCTGACTGACTGTCTGTCTGACTGACTGACTGACCCACCGCCGCTGTCCAGTGCAGTTTCCGTTTGCATCCGTCACCGATTCCTGGCGCAACCGCCTCCCCCCCTCGCGACGACCTCGTCGGACGATGACTGTGAGCTGTACCCAAACACACGGGTGAAGTCACCACAATGTGAACGCCCTCTCTCCTCGGTCGACCGTGGGGGGAGGGGGTGGTGGGGGGAGGGGGACAAAAAAAAAAGGAAAAGGCCCGGAAACCCCACTGTGGACCCGGTGCGTGTTATCTGTGAAGCGATTTGAGACGGGTTCGGGCTGCGTCGGCCTCCGGCCATCGACTGCAGGACCTCCCCCTCCCCCCCACCCCAGGCCCTTCCTGGCGCTTCACTGCTGCAGTTCGTCCCGAGCTCCGCCTTTCTTGCGCCATCCACTTGTTTACTTCACTGCCCCGGAGCAGCCGCTCTACCTCGCTGGCCACCTTAGGCGTGATTGACAGCCCCGGGCAGCCAATGAGCGGCCGGCAACCGTCACGCTCGCGGCCAATTGGGAGAGGAGCTTCGCGGGGGCATTGTTCCGTGGGACCGTGGGAATCCCCGGCGGCCAATGAGCGGCGGGATCGGGGGGGGGAGGTGGGCGGGGTTAGCGCGGTGTTAAGTTTGGTTGCGCGGAAACCAGCTGACAGTCAGTCAGTCACGTCAGTCAGTGCGGAGGGCAGCGGGTGCGCGAGAGCCGGGGCTCCGCTGACAGTTTGTTTTTAAACGGGAGTCGCGAGACGCCGCTTCCCCCTCCGGTAGCGGCAGCAGCTCAAGCCCCAAGATGCCGTCAGAGAAATCCTTCAAACAGAGGAGGACCTTCGGTAGGTTCGGGACCGCTTGTGTTAGTTTCCACCCTTCCCCCCACCCCCCCCCCCCCCCACCCCATCACCACACGCACCTCGGCGGCCTCACCTCACCTAACCCGGTGGTGGGGGAGTGACAGTCACCTGCTTAGGGCAAACCTGGAGGAGGGTGTCTCCCCTCCTGAGGGCCCGAGGGGCTCGGAGTCGACCGCGTTGTCCCCGCGCGCTTCGGGGGGGGTCGACGAGTGCCGAGCTCGGCGCGTCTCTCTGAAGGTCGAGGGCCTGCGTGGCCTCGGGCTGGTTCTCGTCGGTTAATCCGTCGCCTTAAGGCCTTGGGTTTACCCCCAGTGGCTGGGGGATGGGAGGCGGGCGGGGGATGGGAGGCGGGCGGGGTGGGAGGCGGGTGGGTGGGGGTGAGGAGATCAAGGAGGGGGAGCGAACGAATCGCCTTCAAAAACGGTTGCAAAGCGGAGCGGCGGTTGGTGCGGGTCGGGCGGGTGACTTCATTGTTGCTGAGGGGGGCGTTGGTGAGGGCTGTGCTGACGGGGGGGGGGAGGGCTGCGGTGTCCAAATTTTCCCCTTTAAATATATTTTTCTCTGACTCTTATCCCCTCCCCCACCACACACACACACACACACAGACACTCCCCTCCTCTCTCTCTCTCTCTCTCTCTCGCCTTTTTCCATGAGGCCTTCCTGAGTGGTGGTGGTCTTTTTTTTTTGGTGGGTGGGGGGGTTTGGGGGTGTTTCCGATTCACTCCTCCCAATGTTTTTTTTTTACGAGATACCTTGGCAAATTCTACAAATAAAAGCGATGACCTTATGTGTCTTACTAATTTAATTTAACGCCTCCCCTTTCCCCCATAGCAATTCTTAACGGCGTATGTGTAGTTATTAAACCGGGCACGAATGTGATTTAACTGACCCTCTCATCGATTCCTGGATATCCGAGTGAAGAAACGTCTTTAAGAGTCGGACCATTTGTGTTGTCAAAAAGGCCTGAAGATGAAATGGAAGTCATTTAGGGGGAAAAAGATCAGCAAATGGTCAAAAAGGGCAGGTGGAGTGGAGTCCTACGTAGCTCAGTGGTGCGAGCGCTCGCCTCGCAAGCGAGAGACCTGGGTTCGATCCCCGGGCAGGGCGAAACCTTGGGCAAGTTTCCTTACTTCACACGCCTAATCATCCTCAAGAAAAAGAGCACCATCATACATTGGTCACTTCAATACGTGACTGTTTGTGGGGCACTGCTGTGCGCAATTAGCTGCCATGTTTCGCCCACAAATATACAGTTAATTCACTTTACAGTTTATTTTGTGAAGCGCTTTGTGACGTCTGGGAGACGTGAAAAGCACTATGTCAGATGTAAGAATTATTTGTATTATTGTGAGGTGGGACAGTAAAGCAAGGCATCAGAATTGAAGAGGTAAAAGCAATGACATTAAAGTGCTGTAAGATGGCACTTAGCTTTTGAATTGATATTTATTACATATCCCTGGGCAATCAATTTCCTCACCGTGGAGTAAATGGGACTTTTATCGATAGATTTTTTACATGCTATTTTTATTAGTAGGTTATTTCAGTGTTATTGTTTCCCGATATATGTTGATGTGCAACAAATGTAGTGAATCGTTATCGACCATTTCCCTACTTTTGACCATTACGAGGTGCACAAACAATTGCATTGGCTTATCCAAAATAGTGTTTTTTTTCAATGACACCCTTGAAGAAAATCCTTGCTTTATTTACCACTTCTCCAGATTGCGGGAACCCAGTTTTATACCACTTGAAAAACACATTAATAAATTGGTCACTTCAATCCACTGGCCTACTGTCATTTTTGTTTATTCTCCCCTGTTCATAGTGGTTTTAAATGCACGCAATTTTAGTGTGTGTTTTGCAGTTGTCAAAGGTCTGAAGCATGGTAATTTGCTAATTGAAGTACTTTTATAATTCCCAGTAAAAGTTGGATGGTGTATTCATTGTCATTTATAATTTTGTGCATATTAAGAGCTTCATTAAAATAATAATCTTTGTAGGAGTCTAAGAAGAGTAAATTAGCCTGTAATTCAGGTAAGAAGAAATGTTTTAGCAGCTTTTTCAATAGATTAGTGATCTAAATGTTATAGAAAATTGATGCACTTTGGGTATCTGACAGTCAGTGAGTTAAAGGTGTTTTTTTTAAATTGGAAGGTAAAGTGCTGGAATAATCATAGCATATTTGGGGAAACTCCTTGCTTTATCACTTCTCCGTATTGCAGGAATCCAGTTTTATACCACTTGGGCAGAGATTACATGTAGAAGTTCTTTCCTATAGAGAGGAAAACTCAACGGGTGAGTCTATCTGGCTCTCTGCCATTCACAAGAATGTCCCTGGTCAAAACACAGCTTTGGCAGATCACCAGGAGCAGGTCACAGAGCCCTAAGTGATGTAGATGGCTGATATCCTTAGACAACAACATCAACAACTTGCATTTATATAGACAGGGGTAAATTAGAGTAGCTAAAAATACAAAATGTTGGACCCAAACTACTTAACATCCCACAAGGGGCTTCACTTTAGTAGAAATTGGGCAATAAAATTTCATTGAAAACCTAATGCAGTTTGGATTTATGTTATTGGGAGCCCTTGCATTTGTTCTAACTTTGGAACACACTTGTTAGATATTGAAATGGCAATCAGACAAGATTGTAAGGATGATTTTTTGGTCTTGCAAGAAAAGGTTGGAGAGGAAGTGGGATATGTAAATAAGTGCCCATCAAGTCAACAATATTTGATAAGTCACACAGGAATGAAAGGCTGATAATGGGCTCTGGTCTGCTTGGAGTGTGTTTAAGCATGTCTTTCTGAGGTTGAATATCACAAATATTTTAGAGCAGTTGCCATGGTAGGCAAGATCCTGGATTCCAGTTTTGATTTCAAACACTTGCAAAGAAAGAAAAATAACTACAAGATTCTACAGGAGGAGTTTGTGTTCTTCACAGCTGAGAAAGCAGTCTTCAACCTGACTGTAAGACAGTGTTAGCTATGGAAAGGCTATAGCTACATGTTACCCAAGGGAGCACTTAATGGTCCCAGCCAAGAAAGAGAACAAGCTACAGCAGCCCCTAATGCCATGTGTGCACAAATTGGCGACCACTCCAGACTTGATTTCTTCCACTCCCATTTTTAATGGACTATAGGGATTCATAAAGGGAAAATGTGGGAGGGGAAGGGGATTGGAAACAAAAGATAAGCTAATATTGTGTATGCTAGTCAGAGGAGAAAGTACTATGCATGGAGGGAGAACAGAAAAACCTTTTCTTAATTTAAAATTATCAGCATGCATTAACCATTACCATCTTCTGGAATGATTGAAAGAAAAATAGTTGAGGTTAGATTTCCAGAAAGAAATATATTCAAAGTAAAAATGCATCTATTGAAAATGTAAATGTAAAATCAGCTTAATTGGAGGGGCAGTCTACAATTCATAAATTTGGCATTACAGTCTGCTAATTTCCAGTTTCAACATGGGTCAGCATCTTTACATAAGATCTGCAGACACTGGAGGAGGACCAGATTTTCAATTGAAATGTCTCCTGAAAGACACCGTTTCTATATTAACTTCATTATTATTAACTATATTATTTCAATTAACTAATCTACTTCTGGATTTTTTTAAATGTAATTGAGTTCTGTGTACAGAACTCTCACTCTTTCTACTCCATGCTTATTTGGATTCCAAATCCTGCTTAGAACTGTTTTAATGCTATGAATATTTTTGGTCAATACTTGGTTCTAACTAGCAGTCAAGAACTGTGCATGGTGTTAAGAACTTGTGTGCACACAAATAGGATTAGCAAAAATTACTGTTGCAAGTAGGTCTAATATGGGATTTGGTGCATTGAGATCTAATGTGGAGGCAATGAAAAAAATGCGGTTCTAATTAAATTGCCTTTATAGGTAGCTTTCTCATCTAGAGTTTAACAAATGAATCTTGATTTATCCCTGAGTGCTAAGTAGGTCATGATTATGCTACCTTCTGCATTTCCTGTTGTTCATGATTAAAGTTAGTAAATTAAAGGTTATGGGTTTTGAGAAAAATACTAGTGCTGTTTTTGTTCATCATTTTTAGATCTTTCAATTTGCCCAAAAGGCATTGGTCCTCAACATATGGAAATTGGAACAGCTGCTTATATTATCAATGAAAATCTAGATTTAATATTACAGCTAAGGATAGGATTTATTTACATTTGGTAATAGAAAGTATAGGTGATCAAAAGTATAATTCTGCTTTAATAGATTGCAAAAGCAATTTCTGATGATAGCATTCATATTAATGTCTGTATGAGCTCTTCCTATTCAGTGAGAGATGTAGGATTGATAGCAGATTATCACACTTTCCTTGACTAGAGAAAGTATTTGCAGTCACAAGAATAGTTCAGTTGAAGCGACTTTAATCTCAACCTGTCAGCATACTTAACCCTACGGTAACATTCCTAACATTTGGAACTGTAAATGAGTTCAGTGACCTGGATGTGGAAGGGGAAATGGAGGACGCAATACTGTTGCTCTAGTAGAGGTAGCCTTGGTCAGGCGAGAGCTAAACTTCAAATTGACAAATAAAATCCATTGGTCTGAAACACAGTTGATTATCAGTACATTTGCAATTCAAAAAGTACTCTGTAGTTTTTATTCCCCCATACCCCAAATAAATGCTGTGCTTCTATTTTGCAGAACAGAGAGTGGAAGATGTCCAAGTTATTCGTGAACAGCATCCCAACAAAATACCTGTAGGTATCCTGTGGCAATGACTTGTAAATATTGATAACATTTAGCATTTGAAATATGCAGGAATGCTGCTGTGATCTGATCTATATTGGGAGGTGCAGAATCTTTGGGTTATTGTCAGATTGTCTTTGGGTTATGCAAACGCCCTGCTCGTCGACCTTCCCAACTCCTCCCTTCACAACCTGCAGATAATCCAGAACTCTGCAGCCCATGTCCTTTCCGGCACCAAATTTCGTGACCCCCATTCTCGCCCGACTCCATTGGCTCCCTATCCTTCAGAGGATCCAGTTCAAGATCCTGGTCCTCACCTACAAAGCCCTCAATGGCCTCGCCCCACCCTACCTCTGCGACTTCCTAACCCCCTACCAACCCACCCGCTTCCTCCACTCAACCGGCTCCGGCCTGCTCCACGTCCCCCGACCCACCCGCCCCACCATTGGCAGGAGAGCCTTCAGCCACTCTGCCAACCTCTGGAATTCCATCCCCAATCACTCCACCTCGCCCTTTCCTTAGCCTCCTTCAAGTCCCGCCTCAAGACCTTCCTCTTCGGCCATGCCATTGGTCACCCCCCTTCCCCTCCCTTCCCTTCTCCCTCCCTGCTCCCAGCTCGGGTCTGAAATGCTGTACACTGTCCAGCGCCTTGGGACCTCCTCCCGACATGAAAGGCGCTATACAAATGTTGTCCAATAATATTATCTTTACTCCAGTTGTGCCACTGGGTCATTCTGTCCTTGAGTATGTACCCAGGGTTTTTTATAGATAAGCTTTCATAATAACTTTGTTTATACAGTGAAGTGAATTTTGCAGAACATTGTTTTAACCAAGTTAGTGATTTTTTTGTTGAACTATAAGGGTGGATCTGGTGAAAGGTGAACTTAATTCCACTGCATTTTAGTGTCACAATGACATTGTTTAAATGGCAGTTACTTTAATAATGCAGAGTAATGATTTTGAGCATGAGCATTAAGGAGGGAGGTGTGTAGTGGTGTCCCTCAGGGGTCGGTATTGGGACCAGTGCTCTATATTAATGATCTGGACCAGGATTTAGGGAGCACAATTTCCAAATTTGATAGGTTGAACCAGGAAAAACTGGCATGTGGGTCAGTAACCCGAGGACACCGATTTAAGTTAGTTGTTAAAAGAAACAGAGGGAGGTTAGGAAAACTGTTTTCACCGTGAGTTGTTTGGATCTGGAATACATTACCTGCAAGGTTAGTGGACCCCGATTCAATAACAACTTTTAAGAGAGAAGTAGATGGGTATTTGGGGAGGACAAGATTGCAGGGCTATGGAGAGAAAGCGGGCCGGTGGGGTTGAGTTGGATTGCTCTTTTTGGAGCCGGCGCAGACATGATGGGCCAAATGGACTCTTTCTGTGCTACGTGATTTTATGATTCTATGATTAAAGCTTTATAAATATCAAAAAAATCTTAAATTCTTATTTACACTATTTCATCTTTAAAAGGTTTTCTTTTCATTTCTGCAGGCATTTGCCCTTTAGTAATATGACAAATGACGACATTTTACATCAGGCAGAAGGCTGTTAATAGCCTGTTAAAATTACAGACATATGTAAAGTTTTACAAACATGGTAGGACCTTTGCCAGAAAATGTCATGTACTTGTACATATTTTTCAGGTTATAATTGAAAGGTACAAGGGAGAAAAGCAGCTGCCTGTGTTGGATAAGACCAAATTTCTTGTCCCTGACCACGTGAACATGAGTGAGCTGATCAAAATCATAAGGTAAGATCTTTTATGAACAGAGGAGTGACCCTGGGACACTCTGTTCCATGCTCTTACCATGCTAGAGATTCTTGTATTGTTTTCTTTATCCAATAACTTTTTGGAATTGTTGAGAACTGTACTAATCATACCATGGAACAGGAGTTCACCTCCATGCTTTTCAGGCCACTAGTGTACACTTCCTTGCTAGTTATATGGTAGGATGTCAGTGTCTGTCAGCCTCATGTTGCAGATGGACATAATTACATAGGAATTGAAAATAGAATTTAATGTCCACGATTTACTCTGGAAAGTCCTTTCTATTAACATTTCTTTAGCGTCCACATATAATAATAATCCTTGCATGTGATAAAGCGCTTTTCACGTCTTTTCAATGTCTCATAGCGCTTCACAGAATAGACTGTAAAGCGAATTGACCGTATATTTGTGGGCAAAACGCGGCAGCCAATTGCAAACAGTCGTGGATTGAAAATATCTGTTTATCACTTGAGTATGACGAGTGATGCTACTAAGTAATGTAATATAATTTTTCTCAATACATTTTAGTGCTCATCAAAGTGATGATTCTGGAGAATGAAACATTTCTCTGCTTCAGGCATTCAGTGTGTGCAGTGCTGTGGTCCATTGATCACTAGGAACTAAATAAAGACTGGCCTACTTGGTTTCATTTTACTGGAAAATAGAATTTGTATTTGTTTTCCATGCTTTATACGGGCTTGTAACCCCAATAATTTGGTATCAATCTTAAATTTAAAAATTGTTTAAGATTATATTTGATTTACAATAAAAGATGAACACAGTGGTTCAAATGAACACATCTGTGAATAACAATCTTAATTTCTAGCATGCAGTTTTAAATTGTATCATCTCATACTACAATTACAAAGCTATTTACCTCAGTGTGTGTTTATCATGAATTGTCACTGGTGTTGTACTGCTCAACTGTTGGGAGTCTGGATTCTGGAATATTCAGCAAAGTTAGAGAACAAATTTGCTCCTCAGCTGCTTGAAGTTTAGAAAATTGAAGCTGTTAGCAAGTGTGGATGTTGTTGATTAAATAGAGGAAAATTATCAATCAATTAAGATTATTGCTTCTAACATACATTATGCTTTCTGTTTGTAGGAGGCGCCTGCAGCTAAATTCTAATCAGGCCTTCTTTCTGTTGGTGAATGGACACAGCATGGTTAGTGTTTCTACACCCATATCTGAGGTTTATGAGCGTGAGAAGGATGAGGATGGCTTCCTCTACATGGTCTATGCATCACAGGAGACTTTTGGAATGGACTCTGTACTGTAACCCTAATCTGATTTGGAATACCTCCCTTCAATGTCCCTGTAGTACCCTGTTATAATGCATTGCAAAACAAAAGGCAGTTTACACAACTCAGCTGGGAATGAGGAGTGGTGATGCATAGAATTATTTCAATATAAAAGTTAATAAAGCATAATTACAGTCCTTTGCTTGTTAGGTTCTCAGAAAATTATGAGTACTGTATTATTGTAGATGCTGTCTGCAGCAATTTTAAGCCAAATCCTAATCGTGTCCAGAAGATCATCAGGTATCTTATTTTGGCCTCAAAGTGAAATTTAAGTAACTTAAAAAAGGTAACGTTCACTGACAAAACAATTCTGCTTTAAGATTGAAGTTATCAAGAATTGTATTTAAAGATAGTACTTTTTTAAGCTCAACTTGATTCACATTTGAAGAATGCCAGTAAATGGCTGCTGCTTAATAAAATGGCTGTATTTTTAATTCATCTATCTCTCTTCTGCACATGTTCACCTGAATTCAATAATCACTCTTCGGCATAAATATGGCTTTTGGGCTTAAACAACTACAGGGTGAGGTGTATAGGGCGAGATGAGCCATTGCCTTTGTGGATGAGCTGCTGGCAGGACAGATAAGAATATTGGCAAGCAGGTTGGAGCAATAGGTCAATTGCACAAATCCTGACCTTCACTTTTTGTTGATAAGCATTCTCTGATATGTAACTTGTACTTTAATATACCTTTCCACTAATCCAAGCAACCTGACAATTCTAAAAATATGCAGATTCACTTGTGAACAACCATTTGCAAATTAATTCCCAATCAACTGTTGAGTCCCATGCACCCAATCTTCAAGCATCTCCGCACTGGATAGGATTTAGTAACTACTGAGAAATTAGAACTGATTATTTGTAAATAAGCCCCTGCGTTCTAACCATTACTACTTCTAGAACACGTGTTGTGAAGTTGTTAGCAAGCATCAGAATAAAGAAAATGTTTTAAAGTAACTGTTTTAAAAAGTTGTTCATATAACCAAAGCCCTGAACTCTATAGACATATCCATTACAAATCCTAAACCCCCATGTACCTTTTGTGTAGGAGGTCCATATTTTCTGGAACCCTCTGCTTACTTTAGTGAAATTAGAAAGTGAAATTAATTATCCACACATTTTAATGTAGATTGTTGTAATTGTTCAGTTATTCTCAAACCACTGCATATTCCAACTGGGGAAATAATTCACTGCTGCGTATGGATATTTATATTTGACGATATATCTGTAAAGTCAGTATATTAGAGGGGGCTTCATGGCTTAAATAATTAACTGAACATGAAAGTAAGAACCAATTAATCTTTCTGTTCTTCACCTTGCATCTGCATCTAAAGATTTTCTTAGATTTATGGAGGTTAAGTACACTTTTAAACCAACTTTATACTTTAAAAAGTTAAAGAACATGTGTTGTGTGGTTTCCTGGAAGACCAGCAGGACAGGAGCTTTAAGGATTAAAAAGCTGAATAGTTAAACTGACTTGTTAGGCAAACTTCAATTTGTTATTGTGTTAATAGTGGATCCAGTCTTTTCCCGATTTGCTACTCTTGCTGGAAGTGTCTATACCAGAAGGGGTAATAAGACAGATATAGCTACCTTAAGGTACTGCATTGTAAGAGGTACAGGCACTAAGGTGGTAAAAGGGTGAACAACATTACAGGTCACCCCTAATGTTGTTGATAAACTGTTGTACTTTTTTTAAGTTCTTGTAAAGTTGCTGGTACTGTCAGCATTTAGTGGGATATCAGCTGCATTCTGCCATTCTTGATATAATGCTGCAAGTGATTATTCAAACAGAAGCTTGTGCAGTACTACATATCAGAAATATCTACTGTTACTAGTGTACATTCCAAAATCATCAGAAACGGAGCCAGTTTCATATCTAAACAAATCCGTGGCAAGTAAAGCAATGTAGTAATAGATTTGCAGTTTTAAGATACTGATGCCGGATTTTTTTCATATTTCCTCATTGACGGTCACTTGTGCTTTTTGCTCTGTTTGCTTACAGTATTAAGTCACTAGAACAGAATGCAACTAAAAGTCCACATATGTTCAGCAGTGCCTTTGAATTACTTGGTCATTTTAATGTTTGCCATTTACATAAATCCTGGAAATATTTTAATGTAATTTGAGATCTTACTTTACTACTTTTATGTATATTTTCAAGAGTACATAAAACAGATTTATGTATTTTGTAAATGAGTACTGCATTTTTTAAATTGTATTACTTTCAATTTGTTGTCAACAAAACCTGAACTGACTAATTGTAAATATACTGTATATGATGCTATGATAGCGTTTTGAGTTGTGCCTGTATGGAAAAGATGCACTTGTCCTTTTCAAATTAAATGATATAAAGGTGTGGGATCTTGAAAGCTTCTGTCCTATTTATACACAAAACACAAATGGCTTAAACTTGGTAATCATCTGGAATTTATTATTCGCTTGGCTAATTGGAGAGATTTACATATAGCTATTATGTCAGGGTCTCAGAGCTCTTCATAGTAATTGTCATTTGTTGTGAAAAATAACTGGAATACCATTTTTATCCCTCGAAGGGAAAAGTTACACTGAATTCCAATTGGTCCCTAGGATGCAAGAATAGTGAATAATCCTTTAGACACCAAGGCCTCGGGTTCTCTCCTAAAATATTCCTACCCTTCTCACTCAGGCAGGGTTAGCAGCAGATATTCCCAGATGTGTAAATCAAGGCAAAGGGCTGTCGGTCCTTGCAGTTTCAGGTCCAATTCACACACCTTTTAATGTCTAATGCCAGGACTTACAGTGAGTCTGTACTCTCCATAGTCACAGCCTTTGGTATTGTCAAACTGTGGCCTCAGCTCTGGTTCAAATGTTGACCAAGGTTCTCAGACACTGAGAAGGAGCCCAGGGCAGCTAATGTCAATTGTTGCAGACACTGGCTGAGATCAGTTAACACAGCCTGGTAATTACAGTTGCCCTTTTCTCATCCGCATGGCTTAATATACCACAAAGTAATTCGAGGAAGCTTTTATACAATACAAATTTACACTTATATAGCGCCTCTCACATAGGGAGGACGTTCTAAGCAAATGGGGTTACATTGCAAATGTGTTGCTGAATGGTATGTGATAGCACTTCAGTAAAGTCAGAATGTCGTTTTAAGTTGAATTTTAAAAATGAACAGAATGACCCGTCCACAGGTGCCATAGGGGAAGTCAATAATAATAATCCTTACATTTCATATGGCACCTTATCATGTCGTTGAGACACTTCACCGAATAAAATGCCTATTTGGAATCTGCAAAGGACACTTGGGTATTCAGAGCTTGAAAACAGTAGTATTTTCAGGATGTTCTAATATATTTTGCATAATATCTTCCTGATCATGTCATTAACTTCAGATACTCCGATGACTCAAATCCCACTTAGACTGGAGCATTTTTATTCACCAAAAGCATATCTTGATATTTTTATGTACTGGGCAGCTTTACATCGTCATATTCACAATACCTGACAGAAGATGGCACTATTGAAGTACAGTACAATTTCTTAGGACATTAAGAGATTTTCTGTTTGCATATGTATATAGATTGTAACGATTTGAAAGGTTTGGGAAGAAGCTTGTCAGGGGTGAGAAATGGGATACATGTGACATTTGAGCCCAAGTATTTATGTTAAAATGGTATTTCCGCTTCGCAGTACCACATCACGTTTGCAATGGCCATTTAAACATGCAAATCACGTGCTGATAAAGCTTCCCCAGGAGCCACTTAATCAAAGTGTTCCAGAAAAACCTGAGGAAATAGCAGCACCTTCATGCACATCAGAAAATCAAGGGGGTGGAACCTGATCTTGTGATCGTTTTAAGTATTGCATAAAATTATACCTTTTAAACTTCCATCCAATAGTAAGAAATGGGAACTGGGAAGAGAGTTTCTATTAAAGTATATGTATAACCACCGCCGCAGGGACTGAGAGGGATATAGGATGATCATCAGTTTAGGTTCTATGAGATGAATGGCTTCCTGTGCTTTAATTCCTGTGATTGAGGAACACTGCAAATAGTGATCAGTAACTGCAGTCTTCTTTAGCAAAAAATGCTGCTTTGATAACAACACATCGAAAAAGATAATATTGTAACATAGTGACATGGCCATTTACATTATGCGAACTGTGAAATTGTACTCAGTTTAAGCCAAAATGCCACCTTTCCGCCTGCAACTATGGTCCCAGGCAGCACATCTATTTTTTCATATATTAACAGGATACTAATTATCCATTCAAATGAAGGTCAACATTGTGACATCCAGAAGACTAAATTTATTTAAGATCCTTATCTTCACCAACAATCCCTTCACTGCCTCGCAGCTCCCTAACTCCGTGCTCTTCTCCAGCCTCCCGTTTCTGCCTGCTCCCCTTTGGTCGGCAATTCAGGCCAGCTGTACGTCCCCCAGCTTCTCTTTACCTCCATCGGTGGGAGAGCTTCTGCCATTTTGCCCCATTTTCTGGAACGCCATCTCAAGAGTTTCTCCGACTTACTCCTTCCTCTAAACTTTCAAAGCCCACCTCAAGACTAACCTCTTTGACCTGGTCATCTTTGTGGCTATTTTGTAACCCCTCCCACCCACACCCTCTTCAGCTCCCAACCCTCCTGCCCTCAACTCAGGGGGCTCAGCCAACTGTGACCAGCACTCTAGCATAGCCTTCCATGGTGAAATGCGCTGTATAAATGTAAATTGTGTTGTGTAAGAAAACACAGGAATTCCTTATTTAGCTACACATGACATCAGCCACTTGAGAAACTTTTCAGAGCTTTCATTGGTTGCTTGAACTCTCAGAAATAAACCATATTACCAGCTCTACATTTTCTGTTATTCAAGAAAATAAGTAGCTCATTTGTGCCAGAGGAGCTATTATCTTTAACTCTTCTGACTGCATCAAATGCTGCATAAATCACAAATATTACCATCTCAGAGACAGAATGTATTAATTTTGAAAGCTGCAAATTGCAATCAAAATCCTGAAAGGGTTAAATGAATTGCAAAAGGAAGTAATTGGGATAGCTTAATTAATTGATTTCAAACAGCACACAGTTGCATTATACAATTCACTATAAGCCTCTAAAAAGTTTGATCTTTATCATTGCTTTCATTCCAGTTAATAGGTATCTTGCAAATTAATGAATTAATTATTCATTAAATCCTATCTGACGGGAAAAAGTAGAAGATAATGAGCGTCTATGTGTGTTTGCGTGGGCAAATAGCTTCTAGGATGTGAGTAAAAGGATGAAGAAACAGCTCACCAAATTTAAGACCTGCAATGTCAAGCTGTGCATTTAACACGTAATGAAAAACATGCATCTTTTCAATAACATTACTGAAAGTAAGGGCATATTGTATATATATTTATATGTAATCGAACATATGTTTAAAAGCTCACCCATGGAACAAGATCCAAAGATCTATATAATAAATATGCTATCCTAACGCTAGTCTAGTTCATGGAACTGATGGACATTGGATGACTACATTGTTGAATTTCACGGACGAGTGTAAGCAGCGTAGCCATGGTTACAAACATAAATTCAGATCAAAGCATGTGACTGGTTGCTGATTGAAGGGGACTATATCAGAGCTGGGTGCTTGGGTCTGTCAGACACACTCGGAAGCGAATTGTTCAAAGGTCTTTTGCAGGGGGGCTCGGAATTTCTCCTTCACAGAAATCTGCCCAAACAGATGCCGAAACCAATCATAGCAATCAAGGTTTTGCAGACAATCAAGTGTACAGCTGGACTTTATTTTAAGGTATGTTACTTCTAAAAATATCGTTTGAAAGTATGTTATCCACTTAAAAANTATGCAGGGACTGGAACAATAAAAACAAGTTAGAATTAGTATATGCAGCACACAACAAAAACAAATCTTGTATTCCTGCAGCCTCCCCACTATACTAAAAAGCTAATAAAGTTTTTAGAATATAGGAGGTAAATAGTTTGATTTTTTAATTTCTTATGACTTCCAGAGCGCATCATTGAATTTGACTTTGCTTCAAATCTTTGAGTTCTTTTAATTCAAATCCTCCACACGTAAAGAATGTAAAAAAAGGAAGATGATTGGCAATAGGTGGGGCAAAAGTCTTTTTAAATTTATAATTTGGAAGTTTAGAATCTGAAACGTCATTTATTCAGATTTAATCTGGTGAATTTACTTTTGTTATAAATCTGACCAATGATACCTGATCTGCTTATGAGTTGATATGTTGAGACTTATTTTGAAACAATAAATTGGTACTAAACCTAATGTTTATTTTTGCAATTTTACTACACATCTGGTGTGGTAGTTACCTGAATTATCCTCGCATTTGATATTGTGTCTTGTCAGGTCGGATGGACATTTCAAAGCACTTCATAGGATTTACTGTAAATCGCAGTGATTGATTTTGCAGGCAGACTTTAACATTCCAATGACATGGTGACCCTTGGATGTAAAGAATTAACTGGACTAAATTCTGCTGTACATTTGAAAATGTGTTCACAAAAAGCAAAATAGTTCAGTGGAGAGATATTTTTGTTGGTTTTAATTCAGGTTTTTTTTTACAGTGAGAATATTGATGATGACAAGTATATTTGCTGCAATAAAACAAAAATAGATCAAGAATACTGTCTTAATTTATTACTAATAGAGAATAATTTCAAACTAAGCAATGCTCTAATTCTATTTTATACATTTGTGGGACTCATCTGTAAATTGTTAGAAAATCAATGTTGTAGATTTCAAGAAAATAGGAAAAGAATACATACGTTAAAAAGCAAATAACATACTAACCACTGAACAAACAGGTTAACAATTTCAGCATGATATATGTATGTTAAGAGCGGAGTCAGATATGAATTAAATAGTTTCGTAATCCAAGACACCTACCTTTCACACTGTTATTACTTTGATTAATTACAGCGGATTAGGAGCACCCTCATCGGAGTTAAATCCATTATATATTTAAACCTGTAAAGGAAGTCTAAAGATTTGTTATTTGCACGATGGAGAACGTGAGTAGGTTTCTAACCCCCATTAACAGTTCCCTGGCAAACCCAATTTCTGCCGGCACTGGTTCAATCTACAAGTCCATAGAGTACAAAAGTGTTTCAGTGCTGCTTGTGTTGACCATCTGTGGAATCGGTATTATCGGGAATATGATGGTGGTGCTGGTGGTTCTGACCACCAGACACATGAGAACCCCGACTAATTGCTATCTCGTCAGTCTCGCCGTGGCTGATCTGATGGTCCTAGTGGCCGCAGGGCTTCCCAACGTCTCTGACAGTCTGACCGAGGCATGGATCTATGGGCATGCGGGCTGCCTGGCCATCACTTACCTCCAGTACTTGGGCATCAATGTGTCATCCTGCTCCATCACAGCATTCACCGTGGAAAGATACATCGCCATCTGCCACCCGATGAAAGCCCATTCCATATGCACCATATCCAGAGCCAAAAAAATCCTAGCCTTCCTCTGGACCATCACCTCCTTCTATTGCATGCTCTGGTTCTTTCTGGTGGACATCAACATCAACAGCAGGCAGCATGCCGAGTGTGGTTACAAGGTCTCTAGGAACCTGTACTTGCCCATCTATTTCATTGATTTCACCATCTTCTACGTCATTCCTCTGGTAGTGGCCACAGTGCTATATGGACTGATTGGCCGGGTGCTCTTCCTCAGTCCAATTCCTACCAGGATGGAGATGGGAGTCAAGAGTTGGAAGGAGCGTACTGAGGCAGAACGCAAGAGCTCGGAGTCTCCTGGTGGTACTGTCTCATGCCGGATAAGCAAAGGGGCCATCTCGTCCAGAAAACAGGTAATGTGGTGATCTGTCTGGGGGGAGCTGACAGGATAAGGTTTGTGATTTGTCTCCAAGATATTTGGAGTTATTATAGAGAAAATAAATAGGTTGAAAACAAGATGAAGAAAATAACCAGACTTATTAAAATATGAAACAGAATAAAAAAAGAAGCATTTATTTTGGTCAGTCGGATATCTGACACACATGGAAACCCATCACCATGCTTAGGAACAGACAAGAGTGAGAGTCCCATAATGAATGTCAGCTACACATTGGAAAATGCCCTTATCTGGAAAGGTGTGTTCACTCTCCCCAGAGGGACACACGATTATTGTACTGTACATTACAGAACATACTTTACAAATAAACTTATGTACATTTTTTCGAAGTATTAAGATAATGGATTCGAATCACCCAGCAGCACGTATTACAGAATTAAACTGTTAATATGCTATCAGACACATGGTTTCCATTTGATTTGATTTCTCTAATGCAGCCTTGTTCTGAGCAGAAATAAAATTCACTTTCTTCAACGTTTAATGGTCCAAAATTCAAAGGATAGACAACAGAACATTTTATTTTTGTTTGTTTAGGGAATATTATAAATTGTACACCGTCTCCTGGTTCTCAGCGATTAGGTGCTTTTGAGACCCAACTTGGAGCCCAGTGAGAAAACAGCACAAACAACAGGGTGAAGCCTTGATGTTTCATGTTATGAATTACTGATCAAACCCATCATTGATCGAAGATATATATTTAGCAATGTTGTACAAATAGGAAGCGGTCGTGTTGCAAACTTTAAAACCTCAAAATAGTAAGTGCATATTTCCAAAGCCTGGAACGGTATCCCAATTATTGTTCTGCACAAATTTGCCTTAAAGGAAATATATGTCGTCAAACCTGCAGGATAATATATTTCAGGAGGAAGCTGAATTTGATTTAGGGCAACTTTTTAAATAAAAAGGTTGAACACAATGTGTGTATTTTCTCTCCACAGGTTACTAAGATGCTGGCTGTGGTGGTCATTCTCTTTGCTTTGCTCTGGATGCCATACAGGACAATTGTTGTGGTCAATTCCTTCATAGAGAAACAATACGACAATGCTTGGTTCCTTTTATTTTGCAGACTTTGTGTGTACGCCAACAGTGCTATCAATCCGGTCATTTATAACCTAATGTCTCAGAAATTCAGATCCGCTTTCAAAAAACTGTGCCACTGCAGCCACGACGATTCCCAGCGCCATCCCTTGTACAGAAACCCAGTGAATTACAGTGTGGTGCGGGAGACAATCAACCGAAGCCCTGAAGTCAATGGCCAGAAGCAAGGCAAGGCACAGGCTCAAGAGAGCAAAGGCATCGGCACCAACAAGGAAGATCCTAAACTTACCACAGAAGAGGAGATGTACTTCAGTGTTGTTTGACACAAGTTTTATTTTTAAATACAATTGGAGGTTTATCATTTTGGTTGCTCTCCTCTGCATCTTCTCGATTTCTCCAATATCCATTTCGTACTGTGGCGACCAGAACGGTACACAGTACTCTTATAGTCTCACCAATGATTTATGCAGTGGCAGGATTACCTATTTCAGCTTGCTATTGATCTTTTGATACATCCCAAAATCTGGTTTGCTTTACTCACTGCCACAGAGCACTGTTGGGAGAGCTTCAATTTATTGTCAATCAGGACCCCCAGGTCCTTTTCATTTTCCGTACACATTATTTTCCTTCTGTTCAAATAATTGTCCTTCCAAGATTTTTTGTCCTCATGTGAAGTACTTTACATTTCTCAACATTGAATTTCATCTGCCACCAATCTGTCCAATTCCCAATTATGTTCAAATCCTCCTGTAACCTATCTTTCTCAGCTTCGCAATCTACCACCTTTATTAGCTTGGTGTCATCTGCAAACTTACCCCCTGTACTTGCAACTCCTAATTCCAGATTATTTATAAAAATATTAAATAAAAGAGGCACCAAAACAGACCCTTATAAAACTCCACTGGTATCATTTTTCCAGTCTGGTGATATTCCCTGTACCACCTCCCTCTGGGTTCTTCCAGTCATCCAATTGCATATCCATTGTAATATAACTCCACTGATTCCCACTTTCTTTACTTGCAGTACAAGCCTTTCAAGGGGAACTGTATCAAAAGCCTTACTGAAATCCAGATATACAACATCAACAGCCTTACCCTTATCAAACTCCCTTATCACACCGTCAAAGTGAATCAGTAAATTAGATTGGCAAGACCTTCCCTTCATGAATCGATATTGGCTATCGTTGGCTACCAAGATGGAGCCCTATCAGAAAATATTTCAGTGAACAGTTTGGTCCTTACATTAAACTTGGTTAATTTCCTGTAGTTACATTTGTGTTGTCTGCTGTAGGTTTGAGCAAGCTGCACTTTTAATGTTTGTTTTAATGTAGTGTGTTGAATGGTAGAGATATTAATCTTTGGGTAACATTGAAATAGACTCACTAGCTGAGAATCTTTTAAGTTTATGTAAGTGCATCTCGTAAACCTATCCTGTATATCATTGTGCTTGGTGATCAAGTCCTTGAATGTTCATAGCAAGATGTTCTAAATTTTGTGGAAAAGGTAAGCTGAACAAATGAACTAGCCAAAGGGTAAAAATGTTTTACCTGATGTGAAAGGCACTATACGAATGTAATTTTGTATGTTCAGATAGACACAATTAGTTTAAATCTGACTTTTTGGGGTAAGAATATAATACACCATCTTGTATTGATTTGTAAATATGCAAAAATAAACTTTAGCGGTTTCAATCACAGTTACAGATATACATTGATTCTGACAAAGAGAAAACACTTGTTGAGCATTGTAACAGTGAACTAGTTTGTTTTAAAGCTGCTTGTTTTAAATCATTACATTTTGTTTGTCATAATGGCGTTTAAATTAAATTATGGCAATTGGTAACAGGAATTTACAAATCAGTGTCTCTGATTTGTAAACAGCACCTCCTTCTGGAAGTATTTCACATTTCCCCACAGAAACTCTAATCCAGACCAATGAGTGGAATCTCCAAGGGTCAGTGTTGTGCATTTCCAATAAATGGAAATCCACTGTGACTCAGAGTGATTAGAAATGGCCTCACATAAGACTCAATGTTCACTGCTACTGTGATGGAAAGTGCAGAGAATTTGCTGAGATGCTGCAAGCGGCGACAGCACTTGACTTCACACTGCTATGATTGCTCTGACGCAAAGTGCTGATTTATTGTTAAGAGGCTAAATGTTAATTCAGACAACCCTGCATGATAAATTCACTCAGTTCTTACTGTCTTGTTGGGTGAAAGTGACTCATGGAACAATCTTTCCTTGAGTGAAAAGCTATAATTTTGCCTTTCCTTCCAGTAAATACATAATAATAATCCTCACATTGTAATGCATCTATTGCTATTGCATCTATTTTCAGCGTGGAGCAGGTTTTCAAGCAGATGTTGTGAAGGGATTTATACTATGCTGACTTGGTCTCCAAGATACCAGTTGAAGTAGATGTACAAAGGGTAAATGTCTGTGGGCGGACAGAGGAAGTAAGATATATAGAATCAAGTAATGTAGAAAAGCAGCAAAACATTCACCTTTTGTACATTTCCATCTAGCATTAAAGACATTAAACCACAGTTTGTTTAGCAAGTAAATGTTCTTAATAATTGGATTCATATACAGCTGATTCCTTACCTAAATTGTCCTGCTTTGATGTGTTTGTGGTTTAACAGTAAGATTCTCAGCACAACTATCAACTTATACACTCATCTCTAAATCATCTTCACTGCACCACCTCCAGTGCCATTCTTTGATTGGATCGATGCCCATCTCAGTTTGATCTCCCTGAAGATCCAAAGATGTCAGTTCAGCTGCTGAACTACTCCGAACTGACAAAAGATGCAAATATATTTTAGCATTAATCAGGTTGAGGGTTTAAGTGCAGAAAAAAATCGTTGCGTAAAACCATTGCCCAAAAAATTGAAATATCACAATTGCTCCGCATAGGGAATTGCTGTCAAGTGTAGTGACAAAGTGTTTGTAGACGAATAAAAAACGTAATGTTATTAAATTGCTCCATTTTCAGCCTGGAAATCCGACTACTGGGGCAATGGTGACCAAATGATTTAACTCTGTGATGCAACTGTCATTCACTCCACTTTTTCTGGGTTAAGTCAATGTAGTGATATTTGTTTATTTATCTTCTGGTATAAGTCATGAATTTGTTTTTTTTTAGTTGGATATATTGCTTGATATGAAATGTGTCATGGATTTGTAAAATATCTATTGTCGGACTTCAATATTGTGCAGCCTGGTGTTTGATACTGTGTCACTTGAATTGTAGTGCATTGTGACGTTTGTGTTTTAATATGAAGAGAAACACATTTATGCTAGCTTGTCTTGTTAAAATTAAAAAAAAATTCCATATGAATTTTGTGGCTTATGCGAAGTTTCTAATTTAGTTTTGTCCCACTCTTTGTTCACTAAAAAATATAAAAAACGTGTTTAGAGTTGTTATACACAGTGGTACTAATCTTAATGCACATGACACCAAATGTATCTCAGAAGGTGGGCTGAGTGAATTATAACTAGAAAAGGACTAACGTCCTGTACTCAAAGTCAAACCTTTTTGACTCTAGACGTGGTCATGGTACTGTCCGCTGTATCAATTCTTAGCGCAGCCACCTGGAGAAAAACATTTTCTTTCACTCTGGGCTGATTTGAAACCAGACAGACCTCTAAGCTCTATTCAATGGTAATGATAGCCATTTAAGTGATTTCTTGGCTAATCCTCGTCTTACGTTTAAACAACAATTGAATCGAAAGCAAAGAGAAAACATCACTGCTGAAAATCTGTTGTGAGGCAATAAATTAATTCTCTGGCAGCTGGAACATTGGGATCTTTTTAAAGATCTTTTGTAATGTGATAAACAGGGGAAAAGATCCTATGGTATGTTGTGCACAGTGAACATCAGCAAATAGGCAGGCATATTCTTATGTGTAAAGGGATACTTCCAACATGACAAGCCCCTGACAATGCTTTTGTTGTTTGCGGAGGGAAAGAATGAGGAGAAAGGGTGACATCATTTATCAAGATGAATTCTCAGAAGTAACCTGGTGATGGAATGATCTGATTTATATTGTTACAGCAAAAAAAATAAACATTGCATTATAAAGATTTGAAAATCAAGATGATTTTTACTGTTCCCATTTTAATATTTTATTTCTAAAAATATCCCCATGTATTAGAAGTCCGAAACTTGAAGTGATGACATTGTTTGAAAAACATTTGTTCTCTCCAGTCCCGACCTATCACCTCTGCGCTGCCTACAACAAAAACAACTTGCATTTATAAAACGCCCTTCACAGAGCGTTTTGCAGCCCTTCACAAGACATGGTCAAGCAAGTAGATTTTAGAGACTGAGAGAGGGTTGGAAGGTGGTGAGAGGAAGGCATAGGGAATTACAAAGCTTACACTGTGGTAGTTGAAAGACAGATAACTGAAAACTGGGTTGCTTTGCCCTTTTGTAGGCAGCCAAGCATCATAGTCAGGCAAATGGATGTTACTGATTGCTAGTGTATTACTGGGCTCCTGCGTTCAACATTGTCATGTAACAATAAATACTCTGGTAAAAGGCAGGTGCCATTATGCATTATGCCAGATGGTGTCTGAATGCTGCTCCTTCTCAGTTTGCTGTGAACATCCGTAACTCTGAATTGAATAAAATCAAGCGCCCAGCTGTAAAATCCTTGTTTTTTATGTTAGAATTAGCAACCACCATCTACATAGAAATTAGTCCCTCAATAGGCACCCAAGATAGCCTCCACCTACATTTATCGCTTCACCAAGGTCCCTGCATCGTCTTTTTTAGGTAGCAAATGAAGACATAACATCACTGGTCCTCTAATTGTCTCCTGTTATTACTTCTGGACTCAGCACATAGCTGAGTATCTGTGCCATTTGACAATATCCTCACTGGCAAAAGACAAAAATCATTAAACCACGAAAAGGGCAAGAACTCATTGTATTTCTATGTATTAAGCAGAGTGCCAATAACACATCTCACACATTATGACAATAAACTAATTGCATTCTGCTTACTGTTTCATAACCCAAAACAGACTATGTGGTGCTCAATATATACTTAATTATATGGAAAGTTTTTGTTGAGAGGTTGAGTGATTTAATTCACAATCCAATTGCTTTTTCACCTTTGACATCTTGAATTTAGCTAAAGCTGATGGAATGAAAGCTGTTTTTTTCTTATATAAGTGGAACAAGACTGTATTGGTGTGAGAAAAAGAAATGCAGGTGTTTCTCAGATTGGGATTAAGCCACATACAGTATTTGGGGCTGAGATAAAGGAGCTACCACTAATCTTCATTTTACCTGGCAAATACTTGATGGTGTCA